CTGTAATCTATCCTCGGCCTTACCTTACTTAATAAGTCACAACCTATTATGCCTCCGTACTCCCTCGGCATGTTCTCCACCACGTGAACCCTCAATTTCCCGATTCCGGTCACCCATCGCTCCAGGTTTCGCGGACAATTTGCTACGAGGTGACCTATCTTCCCGCACCCGTGGCATTTCCTGTCATCCTTTGTCCATTTCCTTCTCTCTCTGACTGGTCTTTTCTCTCTCACCGCCGTCCTCTCCCTCATGCCAAACTCTCCTCTTTTTCTCCACCCCTCCGTTCTCCCTCTGACCCTTCCAGTTTCTGGTCGCCTGTACACCACTCGATTCCACCCATTCTCATTCTCCTCGTCACCCCGAGCTGCTTCTTCATCCCGGGCGCTTGCGTCGATCATATCCTGGGCACATTCTACAAAATTCTTCTCCCTGGGTAACCCATCCTTTTTACCTGTATCTCGGGCCAGCTGCACTTTAAGTATTGTCGACAGGAACGCCATCCTGGCTCCTGTTTCGACCGCATCTGCTACTTCTCTCGTCTTCTCGGTTACACTGTTGAACCGTGCCAACAAATTCGCTGCGTATTGTCCATTCGTCTGGTGAGGCTGTTTCCTTTCTCGAAACATCTGCAGGATGTCTTCCTCGGGAGCCCACCGACCTCCTCCGAACGCCTTCTTCAGCCTATCCTTCACCGTGTTCCATGGGGTGTCCTCATCCGCCTGGATCATGTTTAACACACTTCTCTTAACTCGGCACACCAAAGCCGCCCTCAACGCGTTCGCATCCATCGAATCTATCAAATTCTCCCCTTCTTTGGCCAGAATTCGCGATATCACCCGATCACCTCCCTTTAGAAAATGGTTTAACTCACCCACTCCTCCGTCAAACCTTTCCAAATCTGATATCGCCCTCCTGAGATCCTGAGACGTCGCCGTTCTCACCTTCAGCCATTCCAAGGTCGTCGCATGTGCTGACGCTAACGTTTCAGTGGGTAGCGGAGGAAAATCCCTTGCCAACGCTTCTGCTAGTGAAGGAAACGCCGGCGGTGGAGCCAATGGTGCTGCCGGTGGCGGTGGCGCGATCGTCTGTGCCACCTGTGGTGTAGTCGGTACTGGCGGTTGTCCTGTTCCGTTCGGCATCCTTTCTTCTGATTACTCCTCGTGAGAAAAAAATAAAAAAAGAAAAAGAAAATTTTACTGAATCTAAAGATCCCGGGTTTCGGCACCACTTACGATCGTCTGAACAGGAAAGAATAAAAAAAAAGAAAGAAAGGATAGCAAATAACACACTCGGTTGCTCGGTAAAGACTGACTTTATTCTCTCCGTAATGCTATATATATAGCATTACGGTTTGTTTATACTTTACAGATAGGATTAAATATTATATTGTCTTACATCTGACCATAACTTATATATATCTATATACTTATATATATCTATATATATATATATATATATATATATATATATAGCAGATTAATCCTATTTAAGGTCTTAGATATTTTTATCAATTAGTTACTAAGTAGATACGAGTATTTATTCTTAAATGACGTCGTTCAGAAAATATAATTTTTCACTTAAATTATAAATAAATTTGAAAACATGGATTACTTTCATGGGAGTGGCTCCATTTCATTCAGAAAGAAATGAACTATATCAATATCTAGCTGAATCAGGATTTAATTTTTAGGAGATGACTTGCTTTATTTTAATGACTGTAATTTCTATGCAAGAAAAGGAAAGAAACTATATAAAATAATGTATATGTGGTCCTTAAAGGTCTGTCAAAAAAAAATATTATATATATATATATATATATATATATATATATATATATATATATATATATATATATATAAACACAGAGTGTTTATATTTCGAATGTGCGTTTAGACATTTCACAAACTATGGATCACACAACCATCTGTCTGAACTTACAGCGACAGATGGATGACAAGAAAAAAAAAATTATATCATTGTGAAATAACGATTTATATATTTGTTTGTGTCATACTTTGTGGAATTTCTAAACGCACCTTAACAGAGTTGTAAAGCTCTTGGGGTACGATCAGGCCCGGTCGGGTCAGGTCGATGATCGCCGAGGTCCCTCGGGGGGACTCCGAAATCATTGTTCTATATTTTCCTAGTACCTTGTTTTTTATTCATTGAATTTCGCAAATTTTTAGAGCCTCTGCCATGGGGTCCGCAACCGAAATGTTTTATTGTGCAGTTCTCGACTTCCAAATAATAGCCCATATGGTGATCATGTTTGTGTTGAAATGTCGGCTAACACATTGAAGATATTTTGACCGAAATTCTTGATAATTTAGTTTCATCCTAAGCGTTTTGTACTATTTTATGACTACAGAATGATCTTTAGAGCCTGCTCTATTTTGTATTTATCTAGTGCCAATTGTACTTTGGCTCTCAAAATAATTGTTTTGTATTTTTGGTGGCCCCGCCGATAGGCTTCCAACTTAAATATTTTGTACTTTTTATAGTGAGCGATAAATTTATTTTTCTGATTTTAAGTTTAATAGGTGTTGATTTTTTTAATATAACTTAATACCACTCAAATTATGAATTAGGCTTATGAAACGAAAAGAGAACAAATTATTTGTATAAATTATTTAAATATATAATTCGTTTATTATCCCGGTTTTTTGTGCCCCTCCCTAGAATGGTGAGACCTCCGAATATCATTATTTTCTACTTATTTAATACTTTAGGTATGTTTGGCCACAAAAATAATTGTTTTTTAAATATATTATAAGTTTAAATCCCTGGAAAATACATATAAAATATATCGCTGTTGTTAGTGCAAAAGGTCTTATGTAAAAGTTCATAAAAACTGATTATTTCATTATGATTTATTAGTTTAATTTCATATTTTATTTCCCTATACTATTTTCCATAGTAGTAGATTATTTATTTCAGTTGCAAACTATAAAATGTCACCTTTAGTACAAATAATATTAACATATAAAATTGTTACATACGATCTTTTGCAATAACAGCAGCGATATACAAAGGGTTATTTCAAAGTTTTGGTCACATTGGTGTGGTCATCAATTAGTTCGAAAAAAAGAGAGCAGAATAGCATATTTTTGACTTCTTATCAGTCTTGATAGTTGTTTTAGGAAGTTGCTTGTTATCAAACATAATAATCAACCAAACCAAGGATACACCATTTAAAAAAAAATATGTATACAATTATTTTTTCTCTTACGAGTATGGGTTCTGTAAACGCCAGACTATAATAATTTAATTATTATATTGGATAATTAGATAATTATATTACTGTTTTTTCACTTTATTTGTAATATTAAATTGAACGGCTTTCCCAATTAACAAACTATTTAGACCGCGTTGCATGCCAATGGTCTGGCGATAGTTTGTAACCATTTTTATTGATTAGAGATTATCTAGAGAGTGTGAAGCTAGGGAATGAGGATTAAGCCATTATGGGCACAAAAGCTTACTCAACTTTTCAATTCAGAATATTCTCACGCAAATCTCTATCAAACTTCATTCATTGCAACAAGTATGATTGAAATTGACCATTCTTTCTCAAAAAAATTTGTTGCGGCGTGCTCATCACCTAACTTTCACTTATCACCATGTTCTTAGCAGAAATAAGTATTTTCAGACCTAGGTTAGTGAAAGTAAAAATTATAGACGGTAGGAAACATTATTTAAAACAATTAATTACCATATGTTTTTCATAGCCGTCTAATGTATTATATTGACTTTGTTTGACACTGGCTGCTTCCTTTCACAACTGAATATTTCAATTATTTATTTGATTATAATAAATAATTAAGAGCCATGAAATATTTTTTGTCCGACAACAGTGCCACTGATAAAAAAAATACCGTAATATTTATTTATATTTCATTGTGGCCATTTTTATTTGTTTAATTACCGGTATATATACAAATTTTACAGCAAAAAGGACCGATTTGCCGTACTAGTTCTCTCACCAAGTACCGGTATATAGAAATTTTAATTTTTATATCGCTGTAATCAATACAATTTAATATTAAATAATACTAAGGATAGCATTTATTTAAATCGCATATATATATATATATATATATATATATATATATATATATATATATATATATATATATGCATACATTTATATGTGTATATAATATTGTCGGAGTCCGTATTATATTAAGCTAACGTTACCTACGTAAGTTCAATCTCGTATTCCTTTGGTGGCTCCACTGCAACTTTACTCCGTTATGACCTCTTATTTCTCCTTTGGATGATTATCAAATCCTCTTATATTTTATATTTAACAATTTATTATATATATATATATGTATATGTATATGACATTAATGTTAAATGTTTAATTATTTCAAATAAAGAAAAATAAAGGTAAAGAGGAAGAAATATTGAAAATTAGCCATTTAACCACTGTTATAGAACATTAATGAGAATAAAACCTACATTATATTAAAAACTGCTCAATTTTGCACTGATATAAAGAATTTAATCAAAATCGTGAGAGCCGTTTTCGAGAAAATCGTAAAAATGTGTTAAATCTATGAGTGCCACTTCCGGTTATCCAATTTTTATAAAAAAGTTGCTGTAACATTCCAGGCATATAGGAACCCTAAATATGCAATTTCACTTTCATACGACTTCTCGTTTTGGTTTATTTTCAATAATGAACCATTGTAAATCGTCCAAAATAAATCAAAAATTGAATCCCCCCCTCAAAATTTGAGGTTTTACGTTTCACAATACGTAGAATTCGAAAATCGCATACAATTTTTTTTTACATCCGCTGTCCGCCGCTTTTCTTCAAGACTATTGGACCAATTTACTGAATTAAAATTAAATTTAATTAAAGAGAAAGTTGGTACTTATAGGTTAACAATGAGACATGTCCAATTTCAAAAATCACCTTTATACTGATTAATTATAAAGTTATGCATTTTAAACACATAGCTATTTCAAAAATCATACCAAGCTTGTTTATATATATATATGTGTGTGTGTATATATAGACACACATATATATGTGTGTGTAAGAATACTTATTATTTTTAAGTTAAAAAGAATTGTTATAAATACAGTATTTTATTAATATAGTATGATTAGTACATTTATTCAACTGTTTATATTTCTGTTTGTAAAAAATTTGCACATTTGTTAAAGTCATTCCATCATATACAAAACTTTGTAAAAGAGAAATATTCTCCTCTGACCTGAAATAGGATTGCAAAAGGTACTAAATGTCATTATTTCCAAATTACAAATGAAAGTCTCTTCTAAACAGGTTTGAGTGTATGTTTCTCATAGTTTTGGGGTTTTGTTTTACTTAATTCATTCAAAGTTTAATAACTCAATATTCTCCAAAGAAATAAAATAAAAATAGTTTTAAAAAATACGAAATGATGAACATCAAACAAATTTCCAGGAAAAAATATTCTGAGAATAGAAGCTTAAATTAAATAGAGGGATAAGACTAGGAAAACTGGTGTATATATGGGTATTATTTATTTTAGTTAATAGTTTTTATGAGAATAAACCCTGTTGAATCTTAAAGAGTTTGCAAACATTTTTTAAAATTTCTCGGGATAAGCCACCCCATCGCGAACCCTTGATATTGAATTCATCAAGTGTATGAACAATACCTTTTGCAAGCAGTCTCTTCTGTCTTGGGGTTAAGTGTGATATTAAGCAGGTTGTAGTTTCATGCTTTGCCATTTTCTTCAGAACATATAGTTCACTCAAGTCTTTGTCAATACCGAGGTACTTCTTAGGTATTTTTTTACCTTCATACAACTTAAGCCAAGTATCCTCACATTCTTCTTCAATAAATTTTCGCATTACACATTCCGACATATTTTCAACAAATTTTGAGGGACTTTCATAAAAAGTCAGATCCCCATTATAGTTATTTTGTTCTTCTTTATTGCAATCAAATGTGCTGGACTGATCTGATGAAGTATCTGACAATTCATCGGTATTGGTAACATCTTCGTTCTCTTCTTTTAATTGAACATCTTTATTATCATTATTATTGATATGACCTTCTTTTAATAAAGAATTGACTTTGGGGTACATTACTGTAGTATTGGCTGATGTAACATGAGTTTCTCCTTCTTTTGCTTCCTCTAAAACAACTTTTTCTTGAAGAGCATCAGCCAACCCTCCTGTTGTGTAACTTTCTGTGCTAGTTTCACACACAACAGATTCTGTCAATAATGAAATTTTTGTATCAATTGATGATTTATCAGTCATATCTGTAAATTTTTCTTTCATCACTATTTCTTTTTTTGGTTTGATAACAGATGTGCGCAAATTTTTATTCCTTTTTTTTAACAATCTAATAAAACTTTTATTTGTGAAGCTGTATGATTTTTTCTTCTTAACGATTTCATCTTTCTGGCATACTTTTTTCAGGTTGCTAGAATTGCTCGGTGTAATGTTTCCATTAGCTTCAAGATCAGGGTTTTTAGGAATAGCTGTTGGTGTTTTTTTGTTCATATTTTGAGATAGATAACAATTGTTTGTATCATTGGATAAACTAGAGTTACTTTTTTTGCAGAAATGGACAACAGATCCATTTTTGCTGCACTTATGCCATGGAACAATTTCGTTTCTATAACAATCTAAATTGTTAATATTCTTCCAATTGTACTGGATTTGGCGATCATAGGTTTTATTACATTTTCCTCTCACATCATTAGAAATGACAATTTTTCTAGTTTCAGGTACAACTGGTAGATCTTCTGTACATGTAGCGATTGAGCTTCTTCCAGAATCAACTCCAAACTTATCCCCTATACCGTGAACCTTTGAAAATCAAAACATTTTATTATTTATGTATGAATAGTAAATAATGGCTTATTTACAAGGGACTATTCTATGATTTCTATTCTATAATATTCTATAACACTATATGTTATAGCATGAAACTTTAAATTCAGATGCCATAGAGTTTATATCATCTAATAAAAGTAAAATGTTTATAGGGCTTAATAATCTTATGTACACCAAATAAAATAGAGGAGCTGAATATCTATCCTAAAGGTTACCAACTTAATTTAGCAAAGTTAGAAGAAGGGTGTTTATTTGTTTTGTCTGACATTCAACCTTCCCAGATTAGATTCAAAATATTGCAGCATCATTAGTTAAAAAACATAAATCAATCAAAATTATAAGTTACCACTGCCCTACTTTGCATTATTGAATTAATAGTTTCTACAGAAACACAAATATTAATGATTATCTTATACCATTATTTGTACTCTAATTTTCATACACTCATTTAGAATAAGTATCAATTATAATAACTATAAAAGCTTCTACACACAGAATGTGATCTCTTGGCGATATGATATTCTTGTCGGCGGCAATACGGCAATATAGTTGTATTCAAATCTTAAAAGTTGTATGAAAATAATTTCTGGAGATTTTAATGCCAAGCTGGGAAAAGAAGCAACATACCAGTAGACAATTGAAAAACATAGCCTACATGAGGCAACTAATGATAATGGATAAAGTCTCATTAATTTTGTAGATTCCAGGAAACTAATTGTAGGGAGTACTCTTTATACGCACAAGAATATCCACAAAGGCACATGGACTTCATCCAACCAGTCAGTTGTCAACTAGATTGACCCTACTCTAATCGGAAGACACCATAGAAGCAGTTTACGAAATGTGAGAACATTCAGAGGAGCAAATGTATATTCGGACCATTTTCTGAGCATAACACATGTGACGGCAAGAATCTGCTAGGTGAGGAATTTGAAAGCTTCCGAGAAAACCAAAAGTTTCAACCTTAGAAAGCTAAAGGATGTACAGGCTAAATTACGCCTGGGAAGCTACTATGCTAACCAAGACATTGAAAATTTCTGGTCAGACTGTTGTAAAGTGATAATGGAAGCATCTGAAGAAGAGCTAGGATCATACGAGAAGGAACCAAGGTCCCCCTGGTTTGATGAGGAATGTAAAGCAGCCACGAACATGAAGAACATTGCATATGAAGCAATGATTAGGACAACCACAAGGAGGTCTGTTGATGAATGCCGACAGAGAAGGAAAGAAGAGAAATGTTTACATCACAATAAGAAAAGACAGAAGGAGAGAGAGGAGATAGAAAATATAGAATTAGTAGAGATTTCTTTAGAATGGTCAAGAAGGAAAGAAAGCAATATTTAATAAATACAAATCCTGTAAGGATAAAGAAGGTAACCTGATGACCATCATGTTGAATCTTCTTGACGAATGGAGGAATTACTTCAATAATCTTTTTAACTCAAGTGAAGAAGATACTTGTGATGAAGATGAGGATGCAGATGGCATCAACAAACAGAAATAATAAGGCTTCTGGTGCTGACACACTCCCTGCTGAATTTTTAAAATGTGGTGGAAACGAGCTTACCAAAGCTCTATAGGATCTTCTCCTTGTGATATGGACTGATGAGATGATGCCCTCTGAAAGGAATAGTTCAATTATCTGTCGTATAAATAAAAAAAGTGATGGGCTGTTGTGCAGCAATTATCGAGGTATCTTGCGGCTATAAGATATTATCTCATATTCTGTTTGGAAGTATTTTGCCATAAGCTCAACGTGAGCTCGGTCCATACCAGAGTGAGTTTAGGGAAGGAAGATCCACCTCTGACCAGATGTTCTGTGTGCCAGTCATTCTTGAAAAAGGACATGAGTATAAAACCAAAACTCACCATCTGTTCATCGATTTCAGGGCGGCGTATGACAGTGTAATACGCGAAGAACTGTATAATGGTCTCAGAGAATTCAACGTACCTGAGAAACTTATATGTTTGATAAAGCTTACCATGAACGATGTGAGATGTATGGTTAGAGTGAACGGTGACAGATCAAAAGAATTTCGCGCAGATAAAGGACTTCGACAAGGGGATGTGCTGGCTTGTATGTTGTTTGACCTAGCACTTAAGAAAGCCATGAGAGACGCTGGTTTATGTGAACGACAAGGAAACATTTTTACTTTTAAAAATTTGAGAAGGTTTCGGAGTTCACTTATATGGAATCTGTAGTCACTCAGGATAATAACCCCGATATTTAGATAAGAAGAAGATTCATGAAGAAGATTTTTTCAGTACTGAGTGCTACTTTGGACTGAGCAAGCTGCTAAGCAGGCGGATACTTTCCAGACAGACCAAGTTTCATCTCTACAAGACATTGGTGCGTTCCGTACTTCTTTATGAATCGGAGTGCTGGACAACTTCGAAGGCCATTGAAAGGAACTGCTTATTTTTGAAAGAAAAGTTCTCTGCTGTATTTTTGGGGGAGTGAAAGTTGGAGAGGAGTGGAAGCCGCGCATGTACCAGAAGCTGTACAATGCTTTCGGAGAAACTGACGTTGTGGAAGCAATGAAGTTAAGGCGTTTAAGATATGCGGAGCAGAAGAGGGAGACGCCCGCAAGACGCTGGGGGCTAGGAATTGAATGGTGTCAGCGCAAGACCGTGACAATTGGAGGAAATGGTTAGAGGAGGCAATAAAATCTATTGCAATATAGCAGTCAAATAGAGTGGGATAATCCACAGCGATACAGACAAAGGGCATACCATGTTCTGTGTGCAGGAGCCTTAAGAGTTAGTAATTCAGAAGTAATTAGTAGGTCTGATGCCTATATAACTCCTCTGCTAGACCTGTTCAAAACCTCAATCTATACAATAAAACCCAATATCCAAGTTTTTTTAATACTCTTCAGATGCTCAAGTTCAGTACTGATTGGCTTTTTAGTCATTTTTTCAGTACTGAGCCCACCAGCTTTACAAGCCTATTGCAAACAGCATAATTATTATTTGAATTGATGGCACAAGTTCCACAACGGCATAGTTGAGTTTTATATATTTTATTTTTAAAATCAGAGTTATTCTTCTTTAACATTAAAGGTCATGTTTCATACCTGTAGAGAATCATTAGAAGAATAGTAGACTTATAAATTTTAATTTTTAGGTTTCTGAAAAAAAAAAAAATGAAAAATGAGTAGTTTTCTGGCAATAAATAACAAACATTCCTTCTTTTAAACCTTACTTTCATTTCCTTTTGAATTTCATTTTATTTAAATCTTCTACAAACTTGAACTTTCTTACTCATTCCCTGTTGTTTTCTCTAAAGTAACATCATTGTCATTATAGCCACTAATCATATATTTTATTTTATTCATATACATTATGAAACATAATTCTTTTTTGGCTTTCATCCACATATCATCACTTTAGCTAAGGTATTTTATCCTTAAGATAAATACACATACATATAGATACATAATACATATTGCAGAACTATATAGAAGAAAATTGGGGAAAAAGGAATCACGTGTTGAATTGACTATCTCAAAGTTTAAAGAATAAAAAGTACTGATCCAGACATGCACATGCTAACTGGATTACCTAATTTTTTTTGGCATTCTTGTTTGATCAATAATTACACATATTCTCAGAACAATAGTGTCCACCTAAAACTGATGTACTACATCAAAACAATATTGGCTCTTTTCTATTTTGTCAGAGTATTCTTTAATTGTGATTTTATTAGTTAAGTTTAAGTAAATATTTACACGTTGGAAGGTTTGAGATTCTCTGAAAGGTATTACTTTTTATTTCAAATGGCTTGAACTTTCTTCTAATACAAGGCACCCACTTGGACTGCCCAGCCTGGCCCGCTTAAAAATGTGAGTATAACTGAATAAGTAGCAAGTCCACAAATTAGACCGCCCTGGCTCATATTATTAATATTAAGGCGGTTTTTTAGTGACCGGAACGTTCCAAGTTGACATCGTACTTTGTTGTGATATTCTGTTAATAGTTCAGCACTCTGATTTTTATAAGAAAATAAGAGAATTTGCCTTTGACTAAATGTGCTCTAATTATTAAAGACATATTAACTACATACAAAATTAATCAATATACCAACTAGATAGAATAGGATATTGTTATTCTAATCCCAACCATTATGAGTTCATATGTTTAGATAAGGGCAAGTTCCTAAGCTTAACACTGATTCCATTGAAGGAATCAATCAATTGATAGAATCCAGCAATAATGAACAACAACTTATGATGAATGGATTTCAGTATAATATTAACGATCCTGGATTTTTTTTATTTATTATTATTACTTTTTTTATATACATAAAATCTTTTTATATTTCTTTTTGACTAGACTAGAGTGCCCCTATTAATAACCTGAGATAGTTGATAACAAATGATCTGTTTATAAATATTCATATTTATTTTTTTACAGATTCAAATATTTTTTTTTTAAATTCTAAGATCCAAATTAATAAACAACTTTATTATAATCTTACCTGCAAAAATTTATTTATTTCTGAATCTGAAGACAAATAGACCATATCATGTTCATTTGTATGGTATGGAATAAGGCAACAAATTTTATACAAAGGAACGTGAAGTGTGTTTTGGGGTGTTCCTGTCATAGTTGCAAGATATAAATATCTAGGTAGCTATAAAATAACCAAAGTAGGTATTTCTGTCATTAATACTCTTATTAATGAACTGGAAAATATCGAGGTGTTCTTTTCAATATCACCTTCTTCTGAGCCTCTTTGATTTTTCACTATAAAAAAAATTTGAATTGTATATTATTAAAAAAGTATAAAATATATTTATATAAAATATTGATAAGTTAAATATGTTTATTTAACTTATAAATAAACATAATTTGATAAATAAACCTTTTTTCTGTAATTAAGGTATTGATAATGAAAAACATGTGCCATATATATATAATAGAATTGAATAGAAAATAAACTTTATTCTGAACAACGAATAATAACATTTATGAACAAAAAACAAAACCCATATCTGGTCTAAAACTACATTAATAAAAATTAAAGAATATATACAAGGGAGTCCCATAAATAGGAAGAAATATTTAAAAGGTTGATAATAGACATCATGATCTACGAAACAATTCTCCAATTCCCAACAGAAAAGTAAAAAATTCAAGATGTGTCGTTTTTTATGCGAGTCATGATTTTTGTTGAATAGAAAGCGATAACTTAAAAAATCTTTGATTTAAGTAATTAAACATTACTCCATAGTAAAGCAGACAAAATTTATTTTAAACAAAAGTATAGTTTGTTATTGTGAGAAATATTTATAGAAGACTACTGATCGGACCAAAATAGCTAAGTTCCATTTAATAAAAAAGTCATAAATTATTTGTTATTTTTTCATCATTCTTCAGCTACCACTTACCTCACTTTTAGAAAAACTTCCGTTTTTAATTAAGTTAAGGTTTATTGGCAAAAATTTTGAGATTCACCTCAAGTTGTATAAAGAAATTATGTGATTTTTTATCTAATCATCTAAAAATACACGTGTTTTCAGCAAAAATGACTACAATTAACTGCTGAAAGCTTTTATTTCTTGTTTTTCTGTATTTGAATAAACCATCCGTCATCCGGGATGTATTGTAATAAACATAATTGTCTAAAAACACATTTTATTCATACAAATAAAAAATAATTATTTTTCACGTAAAATGATTATGAAACTGTGTTTTTTCCCCCAGACCCCTGTCGTGGGAATTGATTTGTATTTATGAGGGGCAAAATAAATGGTTCTTACTAAAATTTATGTTTAAAATAAAGAAACCTACTGATTGCTTCTATTATTTTCATGAAAATGTAAATATTAGGGCTAGAAACATTAAGTTGGTCACTATTAAATTCACATCAATTCCTATGATGGAGATCTGAGGGGAATATACAGTTTCCTAACCACTTTATGTGAAAAATAATAATTTTTAAAGTTTTCATAAATAAAATGTGTTTTTAAACAATTATGTTTATTACAATGCATCTAATATCACGGAAAAAAAACAAGAAATAAAAGCTTTGAAACAGTTAATTGTAGTTATTTTTGCTGAAAACACGGGTACTTTTAAATGACTAGATAAAAAATCACATCATCTCTTTACACAACTTGAGGTGAATTCAAAATTTCCCCTAATAAACCTTAACTTAATTAATGTGGACTTGAAGCTTATTAAACATGGAAGTTTTTCTTGAAGTGAAATAAATGTAGTACAGTTGAAGGATAAAAAAAAAAAAAAAATCACAAATAATTTAGGACATTATTTTTAACGGAACTTGGCTGCGTTGATCCCCTCAACAGTCTTTTTTAAATAGTTTTAACAATGACAAACTCTACTTTTTTTTTTAAAGTAAATTTAATCTAGTTTACTACGGAGTAATGTTTAATTACTTAAATCAAATATTTTTTAAGTTATCCCTTCCTATTCAACAAAAACCGTGACTCACTTAAAAAACATCAATCTTAAGTTTCCTACTTTTCTGTTGGTAACTGTTTTATATGAAATTTTTTGTATATCTTGATGTATACTATCAACCTTTTAAATATTTCTCTCTCCTTATTGGACACCCTGTATATAGGGCGCTATAGGGGATGCATATGTATATAGGGAAAGTAGAGAAAAATATTTATAGGAGTGATTACGGACAATAAGGAGCAGAGTTACAATAAGTTTATATAAACATTGGTCTGATTTTTGACAGAAAAGTAGGAAATTTAAGTTTTGTGTTTTTTTAATTGTCATGTTTTTTGATGAATAGAAAGTGATAACTAAATATCTGGTGTGTCCACTCACACGACTTTCCTACCTATTTCAGAAAAGATTTTATATCTTTACACATGTTCATGAAGAAACAAAAAAGAATTGAACTAGATTTATTTTCCTGAAAATTGATCAAACAAAAGATTTGAGTACGATTTATTTGATAAACTAAAGCAGTGTTAACCGGCTTAAGGTAGATCAGTGTAAAAATTTCAATACTCACTAATAATGCTGATCAAAAACTTTTTGCCATACCTTAGTATTGTCAAACAATAATTTCAGTTAATAGTCGAGGAAATAGTGAAGATGGTGTGAGGGGTTCAACAGATTTTCTTACTTTCACTTAAGTCATCTTTATTCTCTCATTTACCGCTTTCTGACACCAGGATATGAACCCGTAATCTTACATTGGAAATTAAATAGCTGTAACTTCGTTAATAGTTGTCCAAAATGAACAATTTTTTAATGGCTTTGTAGGGAATTTCATTATCTTTCAAACGACAGGCTAAACAGTGTGTAGGTAGGAAAGTAATAAGTTAAAAAATGTGTAAAAAATAGAATAAGCTGTATCATCTCTAATACTGGTTCGATTCAAATGTTTTTTTTTTGTTTTGTTGGTAATTTAATTACCTTTCAAAAGTCTTATTATAAATTTTACCATATAATATATACTTAGCGAGTTAGGCCTCATAACATTTTTCTTTTCTTTATAACTTTTTTTCCTGAATTTTTTTGGGAATTTAGTTTATATGAAAATTGAAAGGACAATGATTAGACCATTATAGGAAAGTTTCATCAAAATCGTTAGAGCCCTTTTCGTGCTACATTCTATAGGAAAACAAGTTTTTCATTTTTCATTTTCTCGCAAGCTATTGTGCATGGAGCACCGAATTTCTGTTACAAGCATCAGTAGTCAAAACCCTACAAAATAGAAAAAGAAGCAACAAAATCGATTCAGTAGTTCCCGAGAAAATCTTGGCACAGACAGACCAACGGCTAAAAATGTGTTTTTTGGACTCAGGGGGCTCTGAAATGTATAGATCTGTCGAAAACCGTATATCGGAAATTTTACCTGATTGCAATACTTTCCTTACCTAGTATAGGTAGGAAAGTAAAAAAGATACTTAATTAAAGTAATTAACAATTGCTTCAGTGTAAACTGGACAAACTTGACTTCAAATGAAAATTGAGTTTGTCTTGTTGACACCATTTAAAGAGGAGTTTTGATTGGCTAAATTAAGTCAAGTTTTCTTTTAAAAAAAAATCATGAATTATTCAGGATTTTTTTTTTAACGTCGTATAAATATACTAAAGATACCCCACTTTTAGAAAAATGTCCTCGTTTAATAAGCTTTAAGTCAATATTAATTAAGTTAAGGTTTACTAGAGAAAAACATGAGATTAACCTCAAGTTGAATAAAAAAATTATGTGATTTTATATCCTGGCAACTAAAAATATTCATGTCTTCAGCCAAAATGAATACAATAAATTATTGCAAAGTTTTAATTATTTTTTATTTATTTTTTTGAAAACCTGGGATGTATAATAACAAATATAAATGCATAAAAACACTTTTTATTTTTAAAAATAATGATTTATCGATAATTCACCATCTAAAGTGACAATGAAAAAGTATTTTTTATTATAATCTGTATTACAGGAATTGGTTCATATTTATAAGTGACAAAATAAAGGTTTTTTAATTTTTTTTACATAACTTGAAGTGAATCTCAAGTTTTTTTTCCTAAGAAACCTCAACTAAACTAATATGGACTTCAATCTTAATAAACAAAGAAGTTTTTCTAAACATATATATTCTTACAAACTGAAAGAAAAATATATATTGTATATTTTATATAAAAATTTAAACTCGCTTCAAATTATGAAACTCATTATTTTGAATAAAGTAATAAAAAAACTAAAAATCAACCTTATGGATTAAATGAACAATGGAAACTAGAATACGAACTATTTTTTTTATTTATATTTGTTTCTATACCAATACTCCAATTCAAACTGAATCAATGTTGTTTGATTTTGGTTGATAATGTATCTATGTCGGTCAAACATAGAGACTGTATTAAATAAAAATTTATAGAAATTTAAAAATACATAACATAACATTGAATATAAATAACAGGAGATTTTAAATAAAGCTCAAGATTATTAGTGATAACAGAAAAGTTGAAATTAAAAATATAAATGCATAAAATAAAATAATACTTTATGGTATTAATAAATGGTATTATTTGATTACTTGGATTTTGTGTCAGATCGTTCCATAAAATGGGAGTCAAACAATCATGTCAAGTCCTGGAAACTAATGAAGGATGTTGTTCAAAGTGAGACAATGGCTGGTATAAATAATATTAAGTCTGAGATCTGAGCATTATGCAGAATAAGGGAAGAGCTCAATTTGGAAAGTTCTGATGAAACAAATTTTATATTTGGCACTGTGCTATCAGATCAAAACAGCAATTAATTTGAGAGCTAAATAAAAAAAAATAATCATAAATATTAATTACCTCAAAAAGAAAAAGATTTCAAACCCTAAAATTATCAGTCTATAAGGTTAACTTGAATTAAACCTTGCTGCTGAAGAGTCAGTGTCTGCGTTTAGCCATGGTAAATTTATAGCAACTGAAAATGTTTAAATACAAAAATCTCATAAGTCGGAAGGCCTCGTGGAATTTCATTGAGGGGAACTGTAAAGCAATTTAGAAAACTTTTTATAAAAATTACAAAAATATTTAATACCTGGTTCTCTAGAGTCGACAACACAACATGGTCTTCCTGCAAAATACACTGCAGTGACTGATCGGAAAAATGATAAAAAATAGTGAATGTGATAAATTAAAAAAAAAAAACTGACCTGAAGTGACTTTTCAAGCATTTGTAAGGTTTCAATCAACTGAATGATCGCCAAACGGTAGCTGTACTTCACCTAAAACAGTATAAAAAGTTAGATTAAACACTTCTTTTTTAATCTACCTGAATAGAAAACCTCCCAAAATTATTTTAATTTTTTTCTTAATATTTCTGCAGGTATATTTATGTCTTCATATTATTCGCAATAACTAACTGAATGGTAAAATGAGATAATAACTAAAATAAATGCTAGTGTGGCAGAGGATAAATTCCAGGCTCCACTTTCAAGTATTCAAGAAGCTTGTCTCAATAGATTCACCATAAGTTGGTCATGTAAAGATAAGCTGTATAGAAAAAAAATTGATGTGATAGAAGAAAACCATCTGCAGTTTTGAAATCAGTACGTCTATTCAATTTGATACAACTTAAAGATAAAACTCAGAACTAATACAAACAATTATTTTCTTGTAAACACATCCAAATATTTTACCTGATTAGCTTGATTTTTCAATTCATTTATGTCGTTTTCAATTACTTCTAATTTGTTTATTGACTGTTCAAACTGGAAAAAATAAAATTTTGGAATTTGTAGAGATATGCTTAAATGATAATTATGTGAAATAATTCTAAAGTCCAAGTTACCAATCCATTACTTACCTCTTCCTCATCATATGCATTTCGCTGTAAAATATTTCCTACATTATCTTCACTGCCTTTTAGTTCCTGGTACAGAAACATAGTGACTATAAGTAAAAATGTTTAAATCATAATTTGAATAAGTAAATTATAGTTATTATAGAACTTATTTTTTTTTCAAAATCAATGTTACTAAAAGAGAAGCTAAATCCTTGCATGTTAAGGTCAATAAAAATTTAATTTTTAATTAGATAATAAATGTCATAACATGTAAACATAAGTTTTTTTTTTTTTTTTTTTATTTGGGTTTTATACAACTCAAGGAGTCATATCCCCAACACCCAAAAGCCACTGCTCCCTGTCCATCCAATCTCCCTCACGAAGCCCTCTGGCTGCCATGCTTTCCTCCACGTCCTCTATCCATTTCTTCTTTGGCCTTCCACGCTTCCTTCTTTCAGGTGGCATATAGTTATAAATTTTCTTTGGCCAGCGGTTCTCATCCATCCGCATTAAGTGGCCATACCACTTTAACCGTTTGGTCCCGATCAGGTGAAGGATGTTCTTTTGACATCCGACCTTGTCTCTAATTGCTGCGTTTGGGATCCGCTCGATTCTGGATATGCCACAGCTTCTTCTCCAGAAATCCATTTCCATGGAAAGCAACTTATTTTCCATCTTTTTTGTCAGTGTCCAGACTTCTGATCCGTAAGTGGCTACGCTTTCTACAAAGGAATGGTATATCTTTTTTTTAGTTTCTAATCTTATTTCTTTCCTCCATAGGGTTGAATTTATCGAACTTATTATTCTTTTCCCATTATTTATTTTATGTTTGATATCAACCTCACTACCACCCTTTGAAGATAACCAGTATCCGAGGTACTTGAACTGCTGGCTGACATTTAGCGTCCAGTCATCAATTTCAAGGGGCAAATTTGGAGCGTTGAAAACCATATACTCTGTTTTACTTTCACTGATTTTCAGACCCCATCTGGAATACGTGTCTAGCAACTTCCTCATCATATAGCTAACATCATCCGGATCCGATGCGATTATGACTTGGTCATCGGCATACTGCAAATTGTAGATGATATCATTCCCGATTTGAACACCCATTCCACAGAACGATCTTTTCCAGTTTTTAAGGGCTTGTTCTATATAAATGTTGAAAATCAGGGGTGAAAGGCAGCAACTCTGTTTCAATCCTTTGTTAATGAAGAAGCTTCTAGACACTCTATCTCCAATTTTTATAGCCCCCCGTTATTTTTTTATAGAGCTCTTGAATTGCTCTGATGAGGTATCTCTTAATAGATGTGGCTTCCAAAGCTTTCCACAATTTCGCTAGAGGTACTGAATCATAGGCCTTGTGTAAATCTACAAATATCATATGGAGTTCACGGTCGTGGGCCATCCTCTTTTCTATAAGTTGTGAGAGACTAAAAATGTGATCAGTGCATGATCTTCCAGCTCGAAAAATCATTTTTAATTCTGCTTTTAATTATCCGGCCATATAATCTACTCAGCGAGCTGGTAACAGTAATACCTCTGTAGTTGGAAACATCTTTCTTTTGGCCTTTTTTGAAAACTGGAGTGATATAACCCTGTTTCCATTCTTCAGGAATCTCTCCACCATTTTACAGAAGTGTCATACTTTCTGCCAGTGCCATTTTGAGTTCGGTCGGGCCTGCTTTAATTAATTCAATTGGAATAGAACCAGGGCCGGGAGATTTTCTATTTTTCATTCCTTTGAGGACTGAATCCAGTTCTATGATTGTGACTGGCGGTATATCTTCCTTATTTAGCATTATTTCATCGGATTGGTTCCATGCGAATTCGGGTCGCTCCTCATGAAATGATTCTTCAAAGTAATTCACCCATTGCTGCTCCTTGATCAATGGGAAGTTATCTCCACATCTTTTGGGTTTTTTCAAATTTTTTAATGTCCTAAACATAAGTATATATTTAAAATTATTCTAAAATTGAGAAGGAGTAACATATTGTTTTTCAATAAGAAATATGTAATTGATAGTGTTGAGTAAGTAAACTTATTAAAGCAGTTCAAAAATGATTGACTGAAGATACTTATAGTAGAAGTTAGTCGGGTTGCGATTTGTAAATTTTCAATATAAATTTATTATTTCGAGGAACACTTCAAAATCCTTTCAATTCACAAAACTTTATTAATATTAATAATTTTATTTCTAATCAGTAAAGTATTTTTTGTGTACTTTACTGAATACAATGCTCATCAAACTTTTGCTATAAACTTAAATGAAACGAAACAAAAAAAACTATTTTATTTTTTGGTAAAAAGACTAGCGTATTGAGGATATATTGTGATTGTAACAGTAAATAGCTTTTAGGCTGTACGGGGTTTTCCTGGGCCAGGGGATGAGGGCAGGGATTTAGAAGACTCCCCCAGCACTGGAACGTGAACCCATGACTATTTTTTATCAATTTGTCTTATATATCAGGTTGCCGGGCAATGGCAGTGCTGTTCACACGCATTAATCCGTTCGGCCACTCCTCCCATTAACAGTATTTAGCTCAGATCAGTAACAGAAGCAAATATGGATCAATGAAAAAAAAGTTTCCATTTAAGGAGAACTTCAGTATGAAAGACCACCTTCTACCCCTTGTGGATCATCCAGTGCTTAAGAATTGTCTGGCTAATCTAATGTTTGCTCTAGAAATATCTTAGTATTGTATTTTTTTTTCTAGCATGTTAGATCAATGAATTTATAAATTATATTTTTGGAATAAAATATAGAAGTGTGCATTATTAGAATTGGGCAAGAGGTACAGCAAAACTTAAAAATAGAAAAATTACCAAAGGGTGGCCAGCTCACTTTAGAGTTAGCTGTTAACTTTAAACTTTAAAGTTCAAGAAAGTTAAAAGTTTTTTATTATTTTTTTTTTCCTTAAGTGAAAGGGTCAAGCTAATCTGCTGCATGCAGGAAAGAACAAGTTTCAGCTCTTATATATTTGTTGTGCTTCCTCTATTTCTACCAAGAGGCCAAAATACCCTTTTAAAACAATAAAGGAAATGATGATTGCTTTTGAAACTAATGCTAATAAAAAATAAAATAAATTTAGCCTGAATATGATGCGAATTAGTCCTTATAATTTTGAACCAGGCTGTTGGACGACACTTAATTCAACAGTTTTATTTGAACTTAGAATCCTCTTTGTCCCTTGCAGAAAGGTGAAACATTTGAAATGAAAAATGCAAGAGTAATCATTTTCTGAATAGAACACATGATTATAAAAATTTATAGAATGTAATTATATGTCAAAACTAAATAATGTCTGTCTTTACATTTCCAAGGATGGGCTTCTTGACTGCTTTATAGATGCTTCTTTCCCTCAATTTAGGTAAAACCTAAAAAAAAAAAAACTTACGAGATGAATCTTTTTAAATAACAATCTATTTACAATTCTGAAACATACAAGTACATAAAATATACTTTTAATTAGTGAACTTTTGAGAATAAATTTTGAGCATATATTAACTGTGAATTAGGGTCACATTTGAAAAGACCCAAGTTTTAATATTCAGTAATTTTAATTGAGGTACTTAGCTGTATTAATTGCAGAGAAAAAAAATCTGGTGCACACATCACACGACTTTCACTTACCACTCTCTTCTTAGCAGAAATAAGTATTTTCAGACAAAAGGGAAGTGAAAGTAAAAATTATAGACGCTATACATATTTACATTTCATTGTGGGTATTTGTATTTGTTAAATTATCCTTATATAAGACAAATTTTAATTTTTATATCGCAGTAATCTACACAATTTAATATTAAATAATATCAACAATAGCATGTATGAAAACCACATATGTATATGTACATAATATTGTCCATAAGATTTTAAGTTCATGTTACGTATGAATAGGGGTGAGAGAGAAAACGCCAAACGTTTGAAAAGAACAGTTCTTGATCTCAATTGAATGAATTGTTCTTCCAAATGGATAACAATAATTGTTTTTCTTTAGTTCTCCCATTTGCCACTAGTCGAGTTGCTGTTTGTGTTGTTTTTCATTTCGTTTTTTCCAAAAGAAACAAAAGCTCTTTCTCGCGCAAGTTGTGCCATCAAAATTAATGAGGGGCTTTTTGATGGGGTTTTCAATTTTTGAGGAGGGAACAATCCGACAGGATTAAAAATTTTCAAAATGAAAAGTTTCAAATCAAAAGACAAGTGGAATCATGGAACAGACCACAGGATGTGTAATAGTATATAATCTACGAATATTCAAATTCTACTTTCTTTTGCACTGTTTTTAAGAAGAAGAGAAGAATAAAATATCTCAGATGGAGTGGGGAAAGGTTTATTGTCCATGAGGGGGATGGGCACCCCTGCCTGTCAGTACATCATGAAAATAACCCAACAGTTTTTTTATAAGACATGTTTCAACAGTTAAGTTCAGAGATGTAATTTTTAATTCCCATTATTAATGAAGGTTAGATATATATAAAAACTTTCATTATAGTTACTACATTACTAAATTAACTTAAGCATATTTGTAGGCAAAATTAGTTTATTTTTTTAGATTTATCTATCTATATTTGTCTTGCAGACTGAAAATAATTTTTATGATTGAACATAAATCTATTCAGATAAATCAATTTAACTGTATAAATAAAATTAAACACTATCATTTTCTATAAAAATTGAAAAAGGTAAACCGTTGAAAAAATATCGGCACACACTATAACAGCAATAGGTAATAAATTATATTTTTGCACCACACTTCCAATTATCTTCTCAGACTTAACCCATGGTCAATAAGACATACATTTTTAATTTACGAGAAAGAGTTAATCGGGAGGGGGGGAGGTGCGGTCCAATAAATACTAAATTAAAATATATTAATTATTTTAATTTTTGCCGACGTTTCGACCCACTTTGCAGGTCATCTTCAGGGCTACAAAAGATACAAAACATGTTGAAAATAAAAAATAAATATAAGTAGATATAAAATAAGAAGTTTTCAGATACAGATATAAAAGATGATATCAGAGACATAATTTGATTTGAAAAGTGGGTCGAAACGTCGGCAAAAATTAAAATAATTAATATATTTTAATTTAGTATTTATTTGACCGCACCCCCCGATTAACTCCTTCTCATATTATATCAAGGGTCAACCATCTCTACATCATTTTTAATTTACATGTCAATATGACAGCAAAATAAGATATACAATTTTATTCATAAATGTAGAATTTATTAGTAGTAATTATATATTTGTCTTCAAAGTGTATAATAAACAGTATCTTATAATAAATGAAAGTGCTCTTTAGATACTCCAAGGTGTTTAAAAAAGAAATTTGGCCTGAAACTGGGAAGTGTCAGGATGGTCATTCAACAACACAGCAATCCAGCACAGAAAACTGAAACTAATGCCAGATGAAATTGATTGCCATGCATCTGACAATATAATATAAATTTTAAAGGCCTTGCACTTTTATAGAAAAATCAATATGTGAACTTAGTCTTTTTTAAACAATAATTCAGTTTCTATGGTCTTTACAGATGATCTTGAGCTCAGTGGTATATTGTTAACTTAACATTTATTATTTTTCTTCATTATTAAAAACAGAAAATACTAGATGAGTCATTTATTAAAAATTTAACTTGTTCAACAAGTTTTAAATAAATTAAATATTGAAAAATACATACCAAACCTAACAATGCTGTTAATAATAAGGCAGATGCAAAGAAAACAAGCATAATTGCGTACAGGAAGGTTTCATTGAATAAACTGTCAAATTGGTATAAATGTCACATTTTTGTATTTTATTTGAATTTATCAGACTACATTGATTAGGTATTTGTAATTTAGATGTATTTTAAAATAAAAACTACATAGTTACATTTGATTTCATCTGACAAAATGAAAATAAATATCGAAAATCATAATGAATAACTTTTTATAACAGATGATGCATAATATTATTGAGGGATAGGTTTCAAAATTATATATTCATAAAAAAAAGTGTTCTGTTAAATGATATTTGTATGTTGGTGACGTAAAAAAACTAAAAAATCTGTAGTTTTAACTAATAAATAGTAAAACATTTGTTTAAATTGTAAAATTAACTTGAATGTTAAGTTTTAGTAGTTGCATTAATTTTTCTTTCAGTGTACCTCCAAGTTGTAGTCTTCCCATTATCCTAAACAAATATATATACAAAAAATTAATAAAACACACATAAACAAATATTAAAAACAGTAAATTTTTTTTTTTTAATCCTAAAATATATTTACCTTCAATTCAATGCCACAATTGAGAAAGTTATCTCTCATATTATCACATGCCTTAAGTAAGGTTTTTTTTTTCTCCAATAGCTCCTAAAACATTAGAAATAATGGATTTAATATTTTGGGTCATGGAAACATGAAAATGACTTAACATTTATCAATATCAATTTCAGGAACTGAGATATATTATTATATTATATCTACAGTAATAGAATTATAGTGATGTAATATGAATATAAATAATGTTGATAAAAACAGTAAAATCTTTAAATTTAAACCACATGTTTACTGCATTTATTTATGAATTAGATATATTTTTATTTTTCAAAATGAAGGTTATCTTTTAAAATAAAGCATCCTGAGGACAAATATTGACTCTTTCTATTATGATATAAAAGATTGAATTATACCATTGAAACCAATTATCCTGAAAATAAAATCAATTATCTTATTTTCATTTTCTTTTTTTTTTTATTTATTTTGTTTTGTTTTTACTACTCTTATTTTTTCATGCTATCATTTATTCTCCTTGATATCATATTTGCTGAACACCGAGGTAAATGGCAAATTTATTGTGAGCCAGGAATATGTGCAACTAATAAATAAATAAATAAAATATTTATACATAATCACAATTTTATGAAGGAAATAATAATCATACTCTAACAAAGTGGATACACAGGTAATAGGTATTTATTCGTCTATAAAGCAAAAAAAAAATTTAGTATTACATATTATTATAAATAATAATACAATAAAAATAATTGTAAAACAAATGTAAACATTATTCATAAAAATATAACTTCGCATACGAAAACAAAAATGATCAAGGTTGGTTGATCCTCATATCTCATACAATACGTTAAAATCTCGTACAAATATGAGGATCCTCGTAAGAATGGCAACACTGCCCACTTCTTCTTGTAGGGTTCCTTTGAATTTGATATTTTTATTAAACTTGTAACCAAGGTTGGCAAAATTGCTAAAAAGCTGATATCGAAACCCTTCGGTTTACCAAATTACCCTTTCTTCACTTTTTTTTTACCATTATTAGTAAGTGCATGTGCATTAATTTGATTTTTGTCTATTTAAGTTTAACTATGGCATGCCCATGATTGTGCATAAATAGAATAAGTTTCTTTTATTATTATTACTAGTAGGCCAGTGCAAAAAATTCGCACAGCATATTGTTATCAAATGCCAAATTAATAAGAAAAGAAAATAATGCAACAAATTAAAAGATAAAAAAATCAATTGCTACTTTATCGATAAATATAATTGACAAAGGAAACAAAAATTAATTTAAATCTTCATTTTTGTTTGGAACCAACATGTTTACAAATTTTAATAAGCTGTATCTTTCCTAAAAATTGTCCGGTTTTGATAATTATTTTTCCTTTTGTAGGGAATTTAGTAATCTTTTATATAATCATGGGCATAACCCAGGGAAAAGTGCATAATTTTTTAGTTATTCGGAAATAAAGTTTGTTTTCTTTCATAACTTGTTTGCCTGAATTTTCGGGGTGATTGGACTATTTTGCCCACCTGAAGGAGAAGCAAGCCTTCGAAATTGGTGGCTCAATCTTGAGATTTGGTGAAGAATTAACGATGATATGTCTTGCCGATAAAAAACACCATCGATAAATAATATAAACTCCTTCTCTCTCGATCATAAAGACCTCAAAGTCGACAAAATGAGACATGTATTCACTGACAGTACTACGATTAATGTAAGGTTGTGTGAATACGAACCCTATGTCTTGCGTTATCTTGAAAATAGTACATTTTAGTGCTTAAAAACACAGGATTCGATAGTTCCTGAGGAAGTATCCGAGTCTTGCTGTACGCAGCAAAATCTTAAAGGCCCAATTTGTCCCGTATCGATCTACAGACCTACCACCATCCCAGTATTGAAGCCTAGCAAAATGTTTCTATCAACTTTATTTATTTTAGAAAGAAAAACAGAAGTGGAGAATACGATTCGCTAACCCCCCATGAAATTCTGAATCCAACGGTACCCCATTCATGGTATTTGAGCATGACAGGAGCTTATATTTGGTACAAAACCGATTTCGAGCCTTACTGTAATAATATATGTGGGGATTATTGTTTTTATTAATTTGTTTACTTATCTTTAAATTGTAAATAGTCATTATGGTCAACTTTCTGTTGTTTTTTTGCTTAATTTTTTATTATATACTATTAAATTTGTATATATTTATTTGTTAATAGACTAGACTAACTTGAAACCAATTTTTGCTGCTTCGTTAATTAAACCTACGCATTTCATCTGAGCCTTTTCCATAGTAGCTTAATGAATTCATTTTGGTCAAAATAATGGATATGTATTTTTTCTATTTTTGTCTCTTTGGAAATTAAGACAATAAGGGTAAGAAAAGCCAAAATAAAAAGCATCAAACAATAGAAAATTGATATATATTTTTCTTTTATTTATTATTTTGTTTGGTCATAAACTTTTTAATATAAGCCCAGGGCTTACAAAAATTAATAATGGAATTTTAAATGCGATTTAAAATATTCAGATTAGAAAAAAAAGGCATTTATTAGGTCATATAATACAGTAGCTGATGTCAAAAGACACACACACAATATATTGAAATTATATACATTGGCTGCGTTTGTTTTGACCTACATAATAGTTAGGGCTGTAAGGTAATGTCAGAGGAACAGAGACAATTCTCACACATTATATGTGTAACTTTTGACCAGAACAAAAAACTTCAACCTCTTCTTAACTTATAGATTATTATAACTGGTTAAAAGAACTGATAACTGGAAAGTTTTGATTTTTTATAGAGATTCAAAAGCTTTATTATAAACTTCCACAAAAAGTGGACTTACAATGTTTCAAAGGTATATTATTGATATTAAATGCTGTAGAAAGCCTATTCTATATAATTTTAAAGTTTTATAAGGGAATTGGTCCAATTAGAGTTACATGGGATAAAAAAGGGCTTAAAATATAAAGGAAAAAAATATCAAGAATTACTCAAGAAGAGTTTGTCAGTATTTCGCAATAATATACTAAAAATCAAATGGATAAGTTTGTATGATTGTAGGCAATCATACAAATCTATCCATTTAATAATATAATATAGATATATGATATAATAATATCTGTGACTAAAATAGGAGCAGTTGATTTACAGTAAAAATAAGATATATCCATAAAAAAAATTTACCTTTGGCTGATTTTTATTTATTTCAAGAGCGGCTTCGCGTATCTCAGACCTAAATTGAATTGTAGATGTGATTAAATCTTCAACTTCTTCATAAGCTATGTTTTTCTAAAAAAAAAAGTTTAGACATTAATTATTAGTATATTTCTTGTTTAATATTATCTGTATTTATATTTTACCACAAATAAGTTATCATCTTATTTTGGAAACTGAAACACATATAAAGTAAAATACTCCCAGTTTTCAGCACCCATTAGTGGTTATGTAAGAATATAAGCTTTAGGAATGGTATAACAATATTGAAAGCCGACCTTTTAAAGCAAAATTTCCTGCTCAACAAACGTATCCTAGCATCTCAAAAAAAAAAAAAAAAAGATATACAATAAGTTACCAAAAGCATCAGAAGTGACTCTTTAAGTGAAAATGGTGCAAAAAAAGTTTATAGTATTGCAAAAGCCGAAATAGGCTCCTAACCCTTCCTCACTGCAGAAGAATGGGCGAATGAGGTTTCTGAAAAGGCTAGTGGATTTGCTGAAAAGTGAAGAGGAGTTTGTATATGCTATGAAAGACAGAAAACTTATTTCACAGGAGAAAAGCCTGATAAATTTTGGCTGAAACGATTTTTAAGTCGCAATCCGAATTTTTTGTACTGGAAACCTGAGGTCATTGCCGTTGCCAGTGACAATACTTTAAAAACAACTTCTAAATTTTCTAGAAATATTTGAAAGAAGGAACTTTCGATATTCTTCACAAATCTGATATTCTTCATTTGATGACCTTCTTCACACAATTTCACGTATGGAATTATTCCAGCGTTTTGAAAATATTTGATAGTCTCTTCTTCTGAACACGGTAATTCAGAAAATGTAATAACATCAATAATTTGACGAAAATCACACTAATGGAACAAAAATAAACAATGGAATAACTCAAAGCTTACACGAGGAACAAAACTAAACAATGGAATAACTCACAGCTTACAGGAGATAAGAAGGGAAGTTATGTGATGTAACATTAGATAACAAGGGAGGTTTCATCCCGCCCGGCTATTTAAGAAGTACCCATTTTTTAATACATAATCACATTTTTACTTTCACTTACATATAAATTTAATATATAGTAATGGTAAATATTATGATCCTGCAAATTTTCGAGTCTGAGTTTTCAACGGAAACACACATTTTGAGGTACCCTGAGTCCAAATAAACAAGTCCCAAAAAATGGTCATGTGTATGTGAACACTCTAGCTTGAAAACGAAAACTCGTACGAAACTGATATTAGGTATTTAAGATAGGTATATGCCTTAGAGGTCCTAGCAACTTTTTCCTTAAAATCGGCTAACCGGGAGTGATACTGATAGATCTGATATTATCTTTAAATAATTATATATCTATCGTCAGTTTATTCCGAAAAGCCATTATGTTAGCTTTTAGAAAATTAAATTAGTGAATAATTTAATAAATTTTCCCTTTGCGATATTCCAACAGAGTCCACTTACAATCAGTGTGACAACTTTTGACCTGCCTATGACAGACAATGCAATTCTCTTTATTCCGTTCAAGTAAACTTTGCAATGGAAAATAACAGTTTAATAACTAATAGTAGTACAATCCATAATCAACGGATTGTACAATCCATAATCAACGGATCGTACAATGCATAATCAACGAATCGTACGATCCATAATCAATAGATCGTACAATCCATAATCAACAGGCGATATAATAAATAGGACTTTTATTATTTTAATAGTATTTATGATTTGTTAGCTGTAATATTTTAGCTTTAGTTCAGTTAAAAATGCAATTAAAAATTTTTATAATAGCCCAACATGGTCAGAAAATAATTTATATTAAATAATGTCAGTCCTATTTGATTTTGTCTTGGTGTACCTACCTACGTATATAATAAATACTTTAGCAAAATGTCATTATAGTTCTTTTATTCTGAAGGCTGCCAGAAACTGGTACTTTAGTAGAATTCTGAAAATTGGGAAGAGTGCCAAAAACTGGTGCTGAAAACTGTCGTTTATATATACTTACACATTCATTCATTTTACAACAAAATTAAATGAAAGACCATGTTTCACACATAAATTTGGAGATTACAGATCATTACTATCTTAACAGAATCGGAATTGTTAAACCAAATACCTATATTTGAAAGGTGCCAAAAACTTGGTGTTATACCCAAATTAAAACCGTACATAAACTAATTCTACCTTTAAACATCAAAATCTGTCATGAAAAATTACATAAAATCCCACTGAGTTGAAAATATAAATGAAAAAAAAAAAATTATACCAAGTATACAAACCTTATCAATGTAATCGTAACCAAGATTTTTCAATGTAGAACTGGTGAAATTTAGAATGGCTGCCAAGCAATACAGAGACTTGGTATTATATTCCTACAACATAAAACAAATTCTAAAATATTTTAAAAACAGCAATATTTTAAAAAAATTTGATAATTATACCTCATTTGATGATTTTATCATTGAATTAGTGGTTGATATCAGATGAAATAGTTCAGACAATGCCTTATTTGTACTAAAATCATCACTGAAGCTCACTATAATTTTCTCTTCTGTTTCATGGAGAACCTAAACTAGAATAATTATTAATTACTAATAGTTAAAGTTAAACATATAATTATCATAGCCTTCGATGCTAAAAATATATTAATACATTGGCTACTCCACTTTACTTATACACTGTACTTGAGTGATCAAATATATGGCCAAAAATATAAATCTACTATTTTAGTATAAATAGTACGATAAATAGTGTTTTAGCCTATATTACAGTATTGAATAGCAAGTTTATTGATTTCTGATTTATATAATGAAAACTGAGAGACAATGTTCCCTGTTCATGGAAAACTTAATACAGCTTCATATTCTAAAGATAATAATGAATCCTTTAAATTTTTTTAATGGTTGAAATAATTTAAAAAAATGAATGGCAAATCCTTATTATATAAATGAGTCAACTATAGTTGACTTAAAATACAGAACATATATAAAAAATTATTGTTATTCTTCTTGTCCTCATAAAACTCAAATATCCATTTAAGAAACTACAAAATTTTCATTTTTTTACCACTTCACCCTTTCTCTTCTGCAGATTGCTTTAACAAATGAAAGGATCCTTATCAAATTTAGTGAAAACTGGTTGAATTTCTCGACTAAAGTTTATTTCGCAGAATTCTAACTAACCATAGGATTGGAACTAACAGAGCTTTTGGGTACCGAAACAATTACCAATTTTTTAACCTTTTAACGATGATATGGAGTGAGGTAGTTCAGTGGCTGAGCATTGACAACCAGAGTTCCAGGTTCCAGGTTCGAGTACGGCTAATGACCCTGGGGTCAGTGACCCTCCTGGGGCACACCCAGCCTCTGTTAAGTGGGTACTATTAATTAAATAAAATTAAAGGGGAAATTCTAGCAGTTGAGCGTGATCTCGGCCCAATCACCTCTCTGTACAACCATTGGAATAGAACAGTACTTCCTCACATAGTATGAACCCAAGACCCTTCACGGGTTGTAGTGGTACAGGTTGTTTTTTAGCAATGGTGAGTGAGAAGGGTGGAGAGTCCTTGAGGACAGCATATTTTTATTATATCTCCTGAACATCATGTTTTTATTTAAGACATCCTTCAAAAATTCACATAATCTCCAATCAAATAAAAATAATGACCTAATGCCTCATGGGAAGACCATAAGGTGGTTTGAAAGTAGAATTGATCACTTATTACCCCGTGGTTTTACAAGAATAAGCCTGACAGATTCTCCAATTCATATATGAGTTGGGCTAACGTGTGTGAACAGCACTGCTATTGCCCGGCAATCTGATATATGATACTATGATAAAATAAAGTCACGAGTTCGCGTCCCGGTGCCAGAGGCGTCTTTTAAATCCCCGCCCACACTCCCTGGACTGGGAAAATCCCATATAACTTTAAAGGCGAGGAACGGAAGGACACACAAAATATATATATATATATATATATATATATATATATATATATATAGAGAGAGAGAGAGAGAGAGAGAGAGAGTCTACCATCGTTGAAGGGTAAAAATATAAAATTTTACTTTTTATACCTCTAAACTTTATATTGAAATATTTCTAAAGCAGTATAGAGTATTGCCATAGTAACCTAAGGCTTTGATATTTAAAACTTCTTAAAAGAGGATTGTTGTTTACTGAGAGATCTATAGCATTATTAATATTTATTATCTGTGATTTGTCATACTTGCAACTGTTTAAATTACAATTTCAGCTGAATCAATCATAATTCAACTAAAGTTTTAAAATGAAATGGAATGTTGTATTGCTTATGAATCAATTGTAGGAGAATGACTTTTAATAATAATGCAAGGGATTAAGACATAATGAGATGCAATCAAAATATTTACCTTAAACAGTAGCTGTTCATCAAAATTAACTTTTTTTCCCTCTCTGATTATTGATTCTAAATCAAGCAAAAATTGTGAAATTGTCCTTTCCATGGCAAAAGCTTTATCAAGTGTCTCTTTTCTTAATTCAACACCTATAATAATTTTTTTATTAAAAAAAAATGGAAAGACACATCACTGATGGTTATAAAATTTATATGAAATATTTCATAGACAGAAAGTATAAAAATTGTAAATGAAGTGAATTAAATTTTCGAAACTTTATTTAAGTTATTATTTTGAAGGAGTATGATACATGGATATAGGAATGGCTATACATAATAAGAGCTATAAATACTCAAAACAAAGAAAATTAATGACAGCTTTTAAGATATTATTTTTGAAATTTTAGGTTCAAAAATTGTTACTGATAATTCAATTCTTTGTTTTCACATTAAATTTAATATATTTTTAATGTAAATAATTTATTTAATTAAAAAGGCAGTGGCGTAATTAGGTAAGGATGGAGAAATGTCACCTTGGTGCTCTCTATCTCATTTCAAAATCGTTGCATACCAATCTTCAACATAAAGCCGAATTCCTATTAAAAGAATAGTATAGCTAAATAGTAAGTAGTATAGTAGTTAAAATTTGACATTTAAGCCCTGACAGACTATTAATGAGAATACAGCCTGCCTGGTATTTATACTTTTCAACACCTTTTATACAACACCTTTTCAGCAAAATGGCAAAAATGTGATAATTTAATGATATAAAGGGCCACTTCCGGAAAGTTGATTTTGGCAAAAAAAAAGTTGCTTTGACATCTCGGGCATATAGAATGCTCTAGGAAATAACATCAATTTTATTGACCAACTGAAAAACAGTTAAATAAATACTCTTAATTTTAAAATTAATGGGCATGTATGTATGTGCATATAAGAATAGATATAATATAATAGGACCTTCAACAATACAAACAATAAAAATAAATACCAATCTGTACCGTTTCGATATGGTATAAGCAGACAGAATATTCTTAATACATTTGCTGTGTAGCTATTCAAGAAATCACGAATGGAAACAGTGTTTTTCAAAGATTTAGACATTTTTTCAGCTCCTTTTGAAAATAAATGACCTAAAACAAACAAACAAAAAAAAACTTCCATACTTAAAACCTGTTTAAATGATTCAGTTCATTAGCCTCAAAACTCAAAATATTACCTGTATGCATCCAGTAATTAACCCATTTAGGTATTCCAAACCTAGCACAACATTGAGCTTCTTCATTTTCGTGATGTGGAAATTTAAGGTCTATTCCACCAGAATGTATATCAATGGAATGACCAAGATATTTGCTGCAAACATTTTTTTAAAAAAAGTTTTAATAATAAAAACATAAAATGAATAAAATTGTTTCAGTTTTTATTTTTGTTTACTAACTTTAGTGAGTTAACATTATTGGAAAATAAAACCTGTAGAAAAATAATTAATCTTGATTCTTCAACTGAGATAAATGGAACAACTACATTAGTGGGTAGAAAATGTTTAAAGAGCAGTTAAAGAGAAAATACTTTGGAAGCAGCATCTCAGGAATAGTGATGGATCCAATTATGAGTTATTAAAAAACAAGAAACAATACGATAGCAATGCAGAAAAAGAACTGGAAAGACTGGGAGGAACCTTGAAGAGGATGCTCAAGCAAACTAGAAATACTTTACAGAGTTTAACCAAAAACAGGAGAAGCAAAGCCTCCAGTCCCAAGGTTCAACAAATATAAGAAATGGCATGTTTTCCGAAAATAACATACTTAGAATAAGAAAATAAGATAGACATCCGTCCCTTGATGAAAAACATCAATAGGAAGTGGACGATTACATTTCTGAAGATGAACTTGAATAGTGACAATAATATGGAGCTTGGATAAGCAGCAGATTAAAATGATATAACCCTGAAAACGCTTAATTATGAGGAAAACAGAGAGAAAGAAATTCTAATTAATCTACTAAATTTGGTGTGAACAAAAAGGATCCCAAGACAATAGGAATTTGGGATGTTGATACATATAACCAACAATTATAACCAAAGAGAATGTGGAAATCATTTCTTATGTAAACATAAAATATACTCAAAATTTCAAGAGAAGTGATTATGAAAAAATGGAACTACAAATTCAGGAACTACATAGTTTCATAGAAAACAGAATCACTCAAAATCTAATCTTCACTTTGAAACAGATTACTGAAAAAATACTGTTGTTGGCAATTCTGAGCTGAATAATTTTCAGGAACCCCAAAAAATCATTTAACAGAATGGAGAAAAGGCATCTTGAAGCCTTTGATATGACAGAGGAATTAGTGAGCCTTTATAGGAAAGGCTTAAAACCAGTGAAGACATCCAATTATTATTTCAGAACAAAAAGGACCGGAGGAAAACCTTGACATACATGGGACAACGGAGTGCAGGAATGTTTTGCAAAGAGAGGTCTGAAATAGAATAGTGGTCCAGACTAAATAGAAAGGCACCTCATACTGCATAACCGTTAGACAAGGCTTGACAATGATGATGATGGGAGAAACAAAAAGATTACAAGACCATTAAATTAATGAATCTAAAATTTAAAACAATAATCTCTCAACATTCGTGAAGAAATTTAAAATAGGATTCTAAAACATTTGAATATTATCAGATTTAAATTTAACTGAAAAACTGAAATCATTTAAAAGAAAGTTTACCAAGCTATAGTAGAGCATTCAATGTGCCAACCAGGCCTTCCTTTACCCCATGGACTTTCCCAAAATGGTTCACCTGATTTAGAACTTTTCCACAGTGCAAAATCTTCACTTCCAAGTTTTGATTGTTGACTAGAATCTGATTCTTGTTTTGGAGAAAATTTCCCATACCCAGAGTATTTGCCTAAATTAAAATAAATAGATCCTGAAAAAATAACATAATTTAAAAAAATCTTGTGTGGTACATCATATTAATTTCATATACTAGATGTAAAATCAATGTTATAAAGCGGATATTTAAGTTGATTTTAAAGAAAAAGTTGCTATAACAACCTAGACCTATACCTGCCTTAAATACGTAATTACGGTGTTGTAAGTCTTTTCGATTTTGAGCAATTCTATTCACATACACACAAACCATTTAGCAAGACTTGATTATTAGGGCTCAAAGGGGCTTAAAATATGTATTTTTGTTGAAAACTTGGATTCAAAATTTTTGACCATTGCAAAATACCTTCCCTTACTATATATTTCACCAAGCGGAACAGAAATTAAAAAACTAAAAAAACAAACTATATTAATATTAAGTATAGATTCCATTTATATCCTAATTACTTGAGGTCTATTTTTGAGCAATTATGTCTTTTAAATTAATTTATATTAAAACTAAATAATTTTTTTCATCATTTTTAACTCTTAGAAAACAAAACAAAAATAACTTTTTTTATTAAATTTTAAATTTAAAATTTGAAGATGCACAGAAATAGTAAATTTTAAGCATTTATAAGATATATGAAAAGTCAAAACTCAAGGGAAAGTAGGAAAAGATTAAATTTAATTTGCTTAAATGCATTACAGAATTATTTCTTAATACTATATATTACTATTTCATGATGAAATAAAACACTTTCTTTACTATGAAAGAGAAATGCTTTATTGGATAACATAAATTATAAATTTCACTAAGTATACAGAACATTTATACGGCATGTTTATTCGTCTGCCTGAAATTGAAATGTTTTACAGGTAGAGTATAAATAAAGACTTTATAATAATTACATATACATGAATAACTGATAAATACTAAAACAATAAACACAAATATAAAATAATAAATATTTTGAATAATTTATATCTAAGAAATAATAATAAAGGAATACAAGAAAAATCATAAACAATAACATGAATAAAACTGACCACAAATAAATTAAACGGATCATTGTCTGTGATGGATATAGCAAATAAAAACAGTGGATCCATGCTGGAGCAAAACTGACAATTTTACGACATTCGTTTACAGAGAGAGCATTTAGAGATATTAAGATATCATTTCGAACCGGGCTAGTTCCAAGAAATTCAATACAAATTTGACTAAGCATTAAACATTCAATCAAAAAATGGAACAGATCTTCTTTTATTGGTAGATTATAGAGTTACAATCTGTATATTCCCTCTCAAACCATAGGATGTAAATCAAATAAAGGAGTTCACACTTGAGCTTAAACAATCAACTCAACTCATGCCCAGTTAAATCCTAAATGCAGCCATCCAAGAATTAAAAAAAATTAATGACTCAATTCTCTATACAATAGAAATTGATCAGAATTCAATGCCACTAATTTACACTACTCCCAATATTGCTAACAATGAATGGTTGGGTATTGTACCATATTGTTGCCAACTAGTCGTTTCATAATGAAAAGCCACTTTCTTTACTAAATAAGGACAAAGATAAATATCAGTCTGGTCAGAGACAGCCATCAGTTAACATCCTTTGTATCATCACGTGTTTTATTTCGTTTAAGTTGCGTTGATTTTTGAATTTTTTTTTCTTTCTTTTTTTATCTTGTTAAATCTATAACCATAGATATAATTAACAGTTCGTATTTCCTCACGGTTCCACGAAAAGTGAACGTATTTAAGTAATATAAACTACTACAAGCCACGGGACTGTGATAAACAACTGTGCTCTGTAGGATTAAGCACTGCTGTTGGTCTTAGGGATCTTAACAACACATCGTGTTATTGTAAGTAAACGTTATGTACTTCATATTAATATGGCTCAATGGCCGGTATGCAGCAGCACCATCAGTCATGAGGAAAAAAATATTTTATGTTGCGCTAAATGCAAATTATTATTTCATAGCAGATGCTGTAAACTTAGCGATAAAGAGTTCGAGGCTCAAAAATCATCGAATAAAGTATGGACATGTAATAGTTGTGATCAAGCAAAAAAGTTTACAGCAGGTGGTGAAAACCGGAAGCAAAGTCTCAGCACTGAGCCAACACCGTCAGAAATTCTGGTGGCAGTACAGCGGGTTGAAAAACACGTAAACACCGAAATAAAAAATATTAAAACAGCTCGGGGAAAAATCTTACCTTCCCTAGAATCCCTAGATTGGAATATGATATATTCCTGTACCTCAACTGATTCCATGGTAGACATTCTCACCTCCAATCTTATTAATATCCTTGATGACCATGCCCCTCTCAAAACCTCCACCTTTCGTCGCCTTCCTGCTCCCTGGATGTGTCAGAAAATTAAGGATCTTCCGAAGAGGCGTGATGCAGCCCATAGACGCTTTAGACGCACTAGATTGCCTGACGACTATCAAGCGTTCAGGACGCTCCGCAACCTGACACAAACCACAATCCGACGAGCCAAATCTACCTATTTTCATGAAGCCCTTTCCTCAGCTCCTGATTCCAAATCCAAATGGCTACTCCTTCGTAAACTCTCTCTTTGTGATCCTACCATATCTCCTCCCTCTGCAGTGCCCCCAGTTTCACCAAATGACTTAAATTCTTATTTTATATCTGCTTCCTCTTCAACTCCTTCATTTCCCCATTCCTTCTTTCCTCCTGGAAAATCTTTCAATGACGCCGATTTTTATTTTTCAGATATTTCTCCCACTGACCTCATATCCGCCGTGATGAAATCACACTCTAATTCCGTCAAATTAATTAAATTATGCCTCCCTGAAATCCTTCTGGTACTCCTTTTCATCTACAATTTTTCCCTTCAAAATTCAGAATTCCCTTCCTTGTGGAAAAAAGCCACAGTACGTCCTTTAAATAAAAATTTTAATCCGTCTTCCCCTGAAGATTTCCGGCCAATCTCAATCCTTTCTAACCTTTCCAAACCCCTGGAGAGAATTGTGCAATCCCAAGTTTCTAACTTCCTTGAACAGTCCAATCAACTTGACCTTTACCAATCTGGTTTCCGACCAGGTTATTCCACACAATCCGCCCTAATCAAAATCATTAATGATGTTCAGTCCGCCATTGATGACAAAAAACTAACTGTCCTTATACTCATTGACTTTTCCAAAGCCTTTGATTCCATCAACCATTCCATTCTCTTTTCCAAATTAAAATCATTATCCTTTTCCCATAGTTCTATCCTATGGTTTCAACCTTTCCTCTCCCAACGCTCACAAGCTGTCGCTATTCCTAATCAACCCTTGTCTTCCTATCTTACTTTGTCCGCAGGAGTGGCCCAGGGCTTTAGCATATCTCCCCTCCTTTTTAGTTCTTATATCAATGACATCCATAATTCAATCCTTCACTGCTCCCATCACCTTTACGCTGATGACTCCCAAATCTACCTTTCCTTCCATCCCTCAGTGTTGCATGAAGCGTTTGCCAAAATTCAAGAAGACTTGAATCGGATCAGTGCCTGGACAAACTTAAATGGATTAAGGTTAAACGCTGCAAAAACTCAAGCCATTGTCATTGGTTCCAAACCCCTTCTCAGGGCCAATACCAACATACCTATACTGTACCTAAATGACCATCCCATTACCTTCACCTCCTCAGTAAAAAACCTAGGCATTTTCATAGACCAAACTATCCTGGAAACACCATATTGCTCACATTACCCGACAGTCAATTGGTACCTTGAAACTATTCCATCGCTTCCGCCATCTCCTACCCATCTCCACACGTAGACTCCTAGTAACTTCCCTCATCTTCCCCCACCTTGATTACGGCTGCGTGGTGTACGGTGGCCTCTCGGCAGAACTCGGGGAGAGACTGAAAAGAATTATGAATGCCTTCGTAAGATTTGTCACAGGGGCCCTGAGGTATTCCCGTGTTTCGCACCACTATGCTGAATTAGGATGGCTCTTCCCTTCCTTCCGAAGACAATATTTCCTAGGCACATTCCTTTACCAAATAATCAATAGTCATCGTCCGTCCTACGCATACAATCTCCTACAATTCAAATCATCTATCCACACCCTCTCCACAAGATCTCGTCCTTCTGACCTTTACACTCCTTTCCACAGATCTGCATCATTTAAACATTCCTTCGTTGTCCGTTCCACTGCATTCTGGAATTCCATCCCACTAAAAATCCGCCATGCATCATCCTTATCCACCTTTAAAACCCTCTTATTCCAATTCCTCTTCACAATCCAATCAGACGCTGGTTAAATACATACTATGTTATAAGGATTTAATTTTCTTTAGACATTATTTTTTTTCTCTTAGTTTTTATTTTTTTATTCTGTGTTGAACGTGAATTTTCATCACCACTCATTAAGCATTGTGATTAGATAAAATTTGTTTTTCTTAAGTTCTAATTTGTTATTCATGAAATGTATTTTATTTCTAATTATCTTTAACATACTTCTCGCTATGTGTATATGTATACTTTATGTTATTTTCTCTTCTCCTAATCTTTACGCATAATCACTTAAATATCTTAGGGAACATATGTATATCATTATTTGTTTTTTTATATATTTTTTTGTTTTAGTTTTTACAATTTCTTTCCCTACATATTAACAGTTATTATTATTTTTTAAATTTTATATTCCATCACTAAAATGTTTTACCTATAAAATAGATTTTACTTTCCTTTCTAATTTCATTCAGTGATTATTATGCAATTATTTTAGCTCCAATATTGTAGTACTGAACCCCTATTACCCAACTGTCCTCGTTAATTTATCCTAAGAGCTTAATTAATACTTAGTGTATTACATGTATTTTGTTATTATTCATTGTAATAAGTCTTTTGACCAGATTTATAGTTAATATATATGAACAATACTGTTATTCTAAAGGGACCTAGTCCCAGAATAAAGATGATTTTTCTATTTCTATTTCTATACATATAAATCTCAAAAAAGTTCTTAATACATGAATGAATGAAAATATGCAAAATAGAAACTTTTAACGAAATAAATATCATATAAATGGTACATAAAATCAAAATAATCCTTAGCAGCCTCTTAGAAAAAAAAATGATCCTCCCATGAAGTAATAACTCAAGTTATTGAATGAGAATAGTTTATATCCTAAAAAATAAATTATGGGGTGGAAGGAAGGCGGAATGTGTGAAGAAGAACAAGAAATGTTATTTGCGTGGTCCTTGCTGGCCGATTCATTAAAAAAAAAAAAAAATTAAATCAATATGAATTTTGATGCAGTATAACTACATCTCTTATACATTTCTTTACTTATATAACTTAACTGATATTGATATCTTATTACTGATATTGTATTATTTCCTTTTATTAATTATATTCACTCACATTAATACCATTTGATTTTATTTATTTTTTTATGGTTGATTTATTGATGCAAGAAAGTGCAATAGTAGATGTTAATCTCATTATCTACAGCTTTAGGTTTAAAAAAAGATGAATTTAAATCATTAAACAGAATTTAAATAATAATGTTGATATTTACCTACCATCAGATGTAGCATAGGCCAAACCATTATCCATAATTCCATTAATAAAATCTAGAATCTCAGGAATATTGTCTGTTACTCTAGCTGTAATAGATGGAGGTAAAATGTTTAATTTATGCATATCTTCGAAAAATTCCTTTTCATAGTGGTGTGAAATCCTTTGACAAGGCTGCTGTAATTCATTTGCTTTGTTAATAATTTTATCATCTATATCAGTGATGTTCATTACCATAATGACATTTAACCCAAAATAATGCTCCATAATTCTTCTGATGATATCGAAATGCATGAATGAGCTGAAATAATGAGTGAAATGAATGTTATATATAAAACAATTTTAAAATTGGTGATCTTGAAAAATTTTTTTTGTTTGTTTTAATTGCACAATAATTAACTTTGCAGAAAAGAATTTACGATATATATGTATAATCTTTATTCAGTAAATAATGAATGTTATTTTAACCTTAACAATATAGCAATTAATTAATTCATCCTAAAAGAAGTGATTAGAACATTTTATTCCTTTTTATGGTATCAAAGTTTAAATGATTCTTAGCCATTCTGTGCTTTTTTAATTGGCCTTTGATGAACTTCAACTGGTCTATTTGATGAATTTCAAATCTACCTACATTTGTTTAATTCAAATTAACATTAATGTATCTATGGTAATATTTGAACTTGAATAAGCCTACAGGGATGTTACCAATCAACTCTAGCCAGAGTGAGATTATTTCCTCACAAAACTTAAAACTCTAGCAACTATGGCTGACTCAAAGGAGAACTATGTGCTCATTGCAACTTTTAAACAGCAATCAGGCCATTCGTCGATCATCGAGTGCCCCGAAGCATGGGAAGTCCTCTGAAGGGACTCCAAAAATCCTTGCCTTAAATTTTTTTATTACTGTGATATGTTTTGCCTCAAAAATAATTGATTTTATTTATTTTGTATAAAATAATTGCTTTGTATTTTTTTAATACCGTAGAACGAGGGCACCAAAGATTGTGGTTTTTGTATTTTTCTAGTAACGTGGTATGTGGTATGTTTGATCCCAAGGATAATTATTTTTTTCTTTCCACAGGGATTCTCTGGTGGGCCACAAAAATAATTTCTTGGTATTTATTTATTACTGTAGAATAATTAAAGGGCCCTCTCTTAATAATTAATGGGTCCTGAAGACCATTGTTTCCTATTTTTCCAGTAACATGGTATGTTTGGCCCCAAAGATTATGATTTTATAACTTTTTTATTTTTGCAGAATGTTTGGGCTCTAAAAATCATTGTTTTATATTTTTCTAGTACTCTGGATTGTCTGGTTCCAAAGATAATGGTTTTATATTTCTGCACTAATTTTAGAGTCCCTCTAGTAAACCTCATCAGGGAGTACCTAATAGAATGCTCTTCGGGGCTCACGGATTTTATTTGTTTTATATATTTTTTGTTATTCTGGGACCCTAGAGAGAAATCCCAAAAAATTTGTTTAGTACTTTTTTTATTAATTTAGTATAATTATGCCCCTCTCCTTCCTCTCTGGGAGCTTCAACAATTACTGTTTTGTACATTTTTATTACTGTACTATATACTGTAGAGGTTAAGGAAACTTCCAAGCACATTGTAATGACCTGCATTGAGTCAGGAATACTCCAAAGGAAAACAGGAATCTACGTCCAGTTCTCCCTACACATGACAGAAGAGCATTCGTTCTTCATGCTTACTTTGTGTATGGGTGGGTGGACAGTGACAGTGGAGCTAGACTACCTCAACATAGATACATCTAGATGTAGGTGAGCTGGAAGAAGAATCCATAAAAGACTCAGGTGAACAAACTTCATAGAGCTATAATTTCATAATGGCAGAGGTAGTATCTATGATCTACTCTTGCAAAAATGAATAAATAGAAATAGAAGTCTAAATAAAAATTATAAAGAAGACAGAGCCAAGATGCATTGTTCTGCAGATTGATGCAACTGAGAAAAAAAAAATTAACGTCTACTATAATCTACAACTACTATGAACAATAGAAAAGCAATAACTAGATATGATGATAAGCATTGATACTGGCTGACTCCCACATACAAAAATAAAGTACAAGATTCGTCCTCTTCCATTCCTTCTGACATATTAATGCGGCTATCAATAGTAACAACTGCAACCATTGCCGCAATGCTGTGCTTTCAGTGACAGTGAATCAAAGATTATCCTTTATCCGTAACCTAAGAACCGATTCTTGAGGCCATAAAACATCTAAGAAGTAATATGATCTTGTTTGCATATTGCAATGATTCTCGCTCCCACTGCACAATTCTTTAGCCAACTTATTGGAATTAGAGATACCAGATGATGATGAACTAAGGCTATTCTCATCGGGTCCAGACCACTCATTAGTTCCTTTCCTTACTCTCAGCTACTTTACCTCAATAACCGCCCTATCCATTTCTCCCCTAGTCATAAAATTAGAGAGTAACCTTTGACCAGAAACTTTTCTTTCATAACCATAACTCCCAGATTACCCGAAAATCCATAACTATCCTTGGATAATTTCTATTCCGATAGAATTGGATTCTGTGATTATACTCCTCTATGCCGTATTAATATGTCAGAAGGAATGGATGAGGATGAATCTTATACTTTATTTTTGTTCATTATATCGTTCATTCTCAGGCTGCCATCTAATCGAGGGAAAGCTATACTATAAAAGATATATTATTTTTAAATTGATTGGCTTAAAAAAATAATGAATGGTTCGTTTTCAAAACAATTTTTGGAATAAAAGAAATCAATGGAAGAAATAATTACAGTTGTAAGAAAAAAAAATGTTTGAATTCTAGACAGTAAACTTATAAAATAGAATACTAGATGGAACTATAGGACTTCAATGATCTTAAATATATATATATTGTCAAGACTGGATGATGCCACTACTGAGGCAGGTGTCACACATTAATTCTTACCAACATAGGAAAAGGCAGAGCTCCACTATCTTTCAAATGATAGGTGTAGGAATATTTGTTATCTAGGGGAGCAAATAATTTATAAAAGGATGAGGACTTATGTTACAAAAAATGATAAGAACCTAAGAGATGTTGCCAGGGTAGATGTTTTCTTGTATATACATTTTCTGGAGAGCATAAAAAGATCACAACAGTATAAGACTGACATTAAACTGTCTTGTCGATGAAGATCCTCAACAATTTACAAAAATCTAACTGATATTTTTTTTAAAGAACAATCTATTTTTCACACTGTTAGAAGAAAATGAAAAATCTTGGACTCACAATGACCTTTGTATTTCTCATATCAACTCATCGCAGTATAATGTTCACCGACTTTAATTCACTTGAATTCATATCTCATGGACTGGTAATGCAGAGAATAACAATGATTTTACTCATACGGGTACTAAAATAATTGAACAATGGTACAAACTAATCAACAGTGGTTGATAAAACTGTCCCAGATATAACTTGTTTTTGGAAGGTGCGAGATGGCTAACACTTGTGCACAGCACCATGCGTTGCTTAGCAACCTGATGTTTAATATAGAAAAATAATTAGGAGTTCAAATCCCGGTATCTGGTGGCTTTTAACTCAACATAATTCCCCGGCCCGAAAAAAAAAAAACCCTTTGGCCTAAAAGGCAAGCAAGGAGAGACAAAACAAGAAGTAATAAAAGGTCTTAAACAAAGACATAAAACACTTGTTTATTTATTTGGGAGACCAAATTATACCATGGGCGCAATTTCATCAGGCATTTGTACAGAGCTAGTAGTTACGAGAAATGGCTACTTTCTCATAATCACCAACAGGGGAGATTGAGAAAAAAAGTTCACACATATGTATTCGTAAACAACTAATGGACTTTTCACATTTTATAAAAAGTACGTTAAGCAAAGTTTTTGATTTTGTACAGAATTCAAATTAAAACTGAACATCTCCATTAAAATGGTAAAAGGGAAAATAAATATCTATTGACGCTATTACATCATGAATCATTAAGCCGAACATAAATTTTAAAAGGAAAGGAAAACAAATTACCATGCATGTCCAAGATGTGCTGAATCATAAACTGTGGGTCCACAACAATACCATAAGACAGTTTTAGGAAGGACTGTACAGAATTCTACTTTTTTCCTGACACCTGAGTCATAAACAGTTAAACCAGTTTTATAACTTTTCTCAGTTGAAGTTGAATAAAAATTTCCATTTGAAATGGGTTTTATTGATGTATTCAACAAATATCCCTTAAACTTGTACTTCAAAAGATCAAAGCATTTTATGCAATCTAAATTACAGACACTTTTAATTATCATGTTTAATTAAATAATACAGTTCTTAAATACACATAATAATGCTTTGTAAACTAATTAATATCACAAAATCTTGAGAAAAATACACTCATTTCATTTTATAATTTAATTTGTATATCATTCTTTGCAAAATTATTCTCAGAGCAGAGATGTGTCGTTCACTAAGGAGCGGTTCCTTTTAATGGACGGTAGAAAAGATAAATGATTTCCAAGGAACTGCTTTTTGTTCACTCCATCTTATCGCTCCTTGGTTAACACATTCAATTTTGGAAGAAGGATGTTGTGTGTGGGTCAAAATTTCATTAATTGTATGGACAATTTATTTTAATTAATTATATGATCAATTATTTTCATTTTATATTTGCAAAAATAATTTTCCAATAACAACTCCTGGATGTATTCAAAAGAAGTAGTCACTTCCCTTCATTTTTCTGAACAGGAATTATAGTGAAGTTCATATTGCTCCAATTTCCATGCCTGTAGTATTAAAAATATGATTTATTGCAAAACTCACAAAGTACATTTTTGATGGAGATGCTCATCCTTCCCCTCCATCATGTTCGATAGCACTATAACCTACCCCCTCTGCTCCCAAGATGTTTTATTGCTCACTGTTTCTTAAAAACATAGCAAAACTAGAAAAAACGCATTTCATATACAATTATAATTATACTTAATAACACACTTGCTGCAGTCTGTTCCACGTTTCCTTTTGTCCCTTATTCCGAAAATAAATAACTCCATCGAAATTTAATCCTCCCCTCCTCAAAAATTCAAATAATATGAACCCTAAATAATTTTGATGGAGCAAATTGCGCCATGAAACCATCTTCTGGGCACCCCTGTATGGAGCTGATGTTTTAAGCACGTTTTTTTGAACTTCTAACTAATTAATTGATAACACAGTAAGTGCACTTAAAGTGACAAAAACTGTGTTATAGATTAGTCACTTCTTATTTTTTATGAGTATTCTAATTTCGTAAACAGTCACTATCGTGGAAGGGGTTGTGCAGCAGTGTTTTCTGAGTACGTGAGCTCATAATCAAGCACTAAGGTCACTGAGCAATTAAGGAATATATACATAAAGTTATAATTGCTCTAGCTTTGAAGGGTTAAAGGTAAAACAGTAAAGGAATATATATATATTTAAAAAATTTAATTGTCAACAACTTTCTTCAGCGTGACGTTTTCAAAGAATGAAGTGATAAAACGTCAGTCAAATAAAGATAAAATCGCTAAGCAAAATAGTTCTTTTTTCGCAGTTAGCAAATTATGGGGATGGTTATCGCCGGAACTATGGAAGTTAATAAATGAATTCTATTACAAAATGTTGTAAGCTTCAGTTATAGATAGACTCTTATTGTTGGAATGCATAGTTTCCCTTGGGCAAGCAAAAAACTAGAAAAAGAACGCTGGGTACCTCTCAGTTGTGGGGACTTATAGTGTATTAACCTCCCAACCAGATCAAAACAAAAACCTATTGTCAATAATTGTATTTCTGCCATTTTTCTCTATACCCACTTTGTGAGCATTCATTTACTGGACTATTTGTTGAGCCTATTACTTTATAGATTCTACTTCATTGTAATAATGCATCCTTCCCTCTCAACTTTTTTTTTTCACTTTCACATACCTATTCGATATTTGAAATACATAGTAAAAGTAAGTATTGCAGTCGTGAAAATTTTCAACATTAATACACGTTTCGAGGTTCCCTGAGAATGATCTGTGTGACTTAATAGTCCAGCTCAAAAACGAAAAGTCGTAAGAAAGTGATATTGCATATTTAAGTTTTTTTATATGCTGGAGATTTACAGCAACTTTCTCGTCAAAATCGGCTAACCGTAAGTGGCACTTTACATCATGGATGTAACACATTTTTACGATTTTCTCGAAAAGAGCTCAGATGACATCAGTGTAAAATTAAGCAGTTTTTAATATAGTGCCGTTTTTATTCTTATCGATCTTCTCTAACAGGACTTAAATGGCTAATTTTCAATATTAACTTCTCCTAAAGTACCTTTTTTATTTGAAACAATTAACTATTTCACATTGATCTCTGATACAAAAAAAAATAGTTAAATATACAAGAAATTGATAATTGACTAAAGGAGAAATAAGAGATTGACAATATCATGTACATATACATATGGTTTTTCATAAATGCTATTCAATATTCATGGTATTATTCAATATTCAACTATATATATTACAATATAACAAATAAAAATTTCCACAATTAAATATAAATAACTATAGTGTCTATAATTTTTACTTACACTTTCCCTTTGTCTGGAAATATTTATTTCTGGTAAAGCAGTGGTAAATGAAAATTTTGTGATATGGGCATGGCACTAGATTTGTTTCATCTTTATGCAAGGGCATGTCAGCCAAAATGCCATTCCTCTCAAGTTCACAGATTGGAAATAAACTGTGAACAAATGGAATTTGTTGTTTCCAATGTAAATACTTGGGTAGAACAACCATAATTATTGAATATAATTTTGTGCTACAAAGATGCCTTAGTCAAAATGTTCATCCTTTTACACTATTTTTCCCATCCAAGCTTCTTGATTTTAGAAGACACATTTTTTAGGGTATCTGAAGTTCTTTGAAAAATTGTTTGCTGACTCCCCCCCTCTCCAAAAAAAGGAAAACAATTTACATATCGAACTTGGTAAGAAAGCGGTGCAACTGGAAACAGTTATTTCTCTCTGCTAATGAAATGACTATGTTTAAGAATAAAACTAACAACTCATAATTTTAACCACCAAACTAATTAGGGTTGTTTTTCTGATTATATATATATATATATATTGATTTTTTTAATGTTAAATACAATATAGAAATTCAGCAAGTTGAGACAAAAAAATTGATGAAATAATGAATTAGTTATCTTGGAAGAGAACCTGCTAAAAACAATTAAAAAAAAGAAAAGAAAATCATGAATCTATCAACACTCATCATCAAAGTTCATTGTTAGGCAAATCATAAGTTTTGATCGAGTTATTATAAGGTAATGGGTTGTAAAATGATCATTTCTCCTAAGAATATTTTTACATTTAACTTTGTTTATTATTATTGTAATGTTTATTGACTACTATACAGTCCAAAAAAAAAAATATTCATTAACTGTTCAGCAGATTAGATATACAGAAAAATATCAACTCAACAAATACTTTATAAGAACTCATAGTAAAACTACATTGAACACTACATATGAAAAATTGAATGGCATTATGAAAGAATAAAGAGAATTAATAGAATCTTGTCTTGCACAGATTAAGTATACTTACTGTAGAATATAGTTAACTGAAGAGAACAAAAAGATGTGTACTATTACAACCTATGAGGTGTTTTAGCAGGGGAGTATTGTTTTGTGACAAAATGCAGAAAGTATTCAAGAAGTCAATCTATAGCTGACATAACAGACTTAACAAATCAACAGCAAAAACTGTTTTCAGTGTAGGCGCAGGAGAAAACTGAAGGGTTCAGAAAAAGGAATTTATAAAATATGAACAGATTATCTTATTTTTATTAAAAACTCAGTTGACAGAAATTATAAGAAATATGTTCTGGGTTTTCTGGTCGAAAACTTAGGTAGTTGATTCTTTTGTTGAATTCGTTTTGGAAGAGGGAACCTAATTTTCGAATCGTGGAACTGCTTCACTAAGGGTCTCCTGCAGTTCGCGGCTTTCACGATTTCAACTTTGATAATCTGAAAATAACAATAAGTATAGTAAACTAGTCTTTAATATTAAAAGTATACTTAATTGACAATCTATAATGTGCAATTCAATTTTAAATTATACTGAAATAATTTATTTTAGACAATCACAAATTTGAAATTAAGAATCTCCCAGGGAGGAGTAAATTGTTTGTAAAAATATTAAGAATAGAATAGGTAGTATGAATTATTGATGGTAGTTAATCTGATTATTTAATAATAAAATGCAGTCAATTAACTGTGATATTTAATATCAAAAGTGATAAATAATCAGGATTCAGTAACTATTGATAAAGTTTATTCTCTATGTTTCAACCCAATAATCAGGGCCACCTTCAAGGCAAATGGTTGGCAACTGATATTAGTTCTAGGAAAGTGGCATAGAAAATTTAAATGAATATACCTAAATTAAGTGCATGTTTTTTTCTTAATACTATTATGCTTCTTACAAAAAAAAAATATATGTACTCAATTCTTCCCAATAACTCCCATCCATACAATTTAAAGATAATGACAACAAAGTACATTTAATTTGGAATATTTACCTGAATAGAATGAGCTCGAGCTCTGTGCCTAGCTCCCATGTCCCTGTAACACTGAGTTACTGCTCCACCAACAGTCAAGTCCCTGTATTCACGGTACATGTTGTGTGTACCAGACCTTGAGTCATAACGAAGCCAGATTCCAAAGTTCTTTATCTTGGTGGGAGATTTCTCAGGAATCTAGCAAACAAAAAATGTAAAATTAATATATAAATTCATAAAGGGGTAATAAAATAAATGTTAAATAGTGATTTAAAAACCGAAGGTAAGGGACATTCAGCTACTATAATAGAAAAGGATGAATACAATAATTTAATAAAATAATCATCAAAATTACACTGAAAAAGTTAAAATTTAACTGCATTAATTCTTTTAGCATGGATGTATTTGAGTAGTTATTTTTATCAGCTTAATTTCTTTTTGTTTAGTTTATATAAATTTAGTTTTAGTATTATTATTTTTATTTATTGTGAATGTGCTCTTTGAACACTATTATAAATGTCCTTAATTGTGATAGATTGTAATATCTCTCAATAAATCTGCTTAAAAAAAAATTCTTTCGATTATACGTTTCTTAACTAAAACATGGTAGGAAAGATAACCTAGAAATGACTATCATATAGGATGATTAAAGAGTCATGATAACAGACTTTTCCATTGTTAAAAGGTTCATTTATGATTCCACTCAAAGAAAAGTAGCAAGGAGTAGAAATAAAGCTACTCATACTTCACCTATTAAGTGACAAGTAATAAACACTAACCAATCTGAGGAGATAGTTTTTAAAACACACGTTAATGTTAGTATTAAAAACAAATTAGACAATAATTTGTTTAGTTAAATATAAATTTAGAAAAAACAAGTTAAAAATGTCATCATTCATCTTGTTCGGACCAAACCTTTATGACTTTTCAGATTTGTATCAGTCCACAGAACTCTCCACTAAAATTTTCATATTTACAGTAGCATTTAATTCATTATTCAGTTATTACTCTTTTTCTTACACCTAAATAATCAGGAGCAGAAGACATAATCTGGAGGTTTAGTATAATTTTTGCTGACTCTGTTTTATTTTGTTTCGTTTTCTTTTTTCTTTAATGTCGAATGATTTGACATTATTTCGTCAACTCATGCTTCTTAATGTGCAAAAATACAGTTTGTCATTCATAAGGCCGTATCAACACAAGTAAGATTTTTAAAGAATTAAATTTTCAATTCCTGTATTTAGAAGCTCCTACATCTTTAGATTAATGGAATATTTAGTTTGTTGAAAAATATTAAAGCAATGCATGAAAAAACAGAAAATTAGTCGTTCCATTAACAATGTTTTACTTTAAGTTAAATTAAAGTGTTGGCCTGTATTCCAATGCACAATCAATTAGTTTAGAGCAGAATATTGCTTATCTGATTTTGCTGCTTTTTTTTTTTTTTATTTTGTATGGTTTTGACTACTGAAGCCTGTGACACAAATTGGGTTCTCCATGCGCAATAAATAAAAAAAACATGTTTTTCTATAGACTGTAGAGCGAAAATGGCAAAAAACAATTTTGATGAAACTTTCCTATGATGTTCTAATAATTGTCCTTTCAATTTTCGTAAATGGACTAAATTCGCGAAAAAATTCAGGAAAAAAAGTTATAAAGAAAAGAAAAATGTTTTGGGGCCTAACTCGCTAAGTATATATTCTATGGTAAAATTTCTATTTTCTCTACTTTTAACAGAAATTAGGCTATGGCAAAAAGTTTTTGATTAACAATATTAGAGGGTATTGAAATGTTTACATTACATACTACATACTACATACAGTGTTACAATGAAACACTGATCTGCCTTAAGCCAGTTTACATTGCTTTAGTTTATCAAATAAATTGTACTCAAATCTTTTCGTTGATCAATTTTCAGGAAAATAAATCTCATTTAATTTTTTTTGTTTCTTGATGGACATATGTAAAGATATAAAAACTTTTCTGAAATGGGTAGGAAAGTCGTGTGAGTGGACACATCAGAGTTCTTCTTTTCAAACCAATTTTTCAGCACTGAGTGTATGTACCAATTGTTTCTATAAATTTTATTTTATTGCCCAGATAAATATCTAGATCACATCCTAATACCACCTATTAGGGATATTTATTAGGTACCACTAGAGAAATGTCACTCCACCAGTGGGCCAAGATCCCTTGTTTGTGTTATAAACGTAATCTCGAGTGTGTTCGAAATTGACTGAACCATTTGGTAAGGCCCTGACCTCCACTGAAAAGGAAATACTAGAGGTTTTCTCATCTCTATAGAGCAAGCGGAATTCAAAAGCAGTGATGTAATTAAAGCTAATTATTGACCTGATTTAAATTTAAAAGTACCAGTAGGAATCTTGCTATAGTTATAAATCACAGCTATAATCTAAATAAGGGTTGTTTTATATTTTTTTTGTTATTTAAATCATCTTTTATAAATCGTCGTGGACAGCAAATAGCAAAATATAATTTGAAATTTTAACAGCAATACATTCAAAATATTGCTTAAAAATAAATTTGTAAAATGAAAACTGAAATTAATGAGTGGACTGATACCAGACTTCTTAGGATTTAACTAACAACCATAAGAAGTTAAAAACATTTGTAAACTTTTTCTATTTCATACAAATTAATTTAAGGATCAATAATCATTATTGTTTAATCTTGACCATTGATATTTAGATATTGTTTTAACTTTTTGTTTATTTCTACAACTTAATGACTATTATTTAAATTGAAATCTAAATTCCATTACTGTTGCGCTCAATAATTCAAAAAGTATAAGGGGACTTAATACCTGCTTTAAAGAAACAATTTCTCCTGTGCTTTTTTTGAATTTCTTTAGTTGCCTAAGGAAGTACCAAAACCTTGATTTAGCAACAATGCCATCGGGGGCAAATATCCTCATTTTGTAAAGAGGTAAATTGGTTTCATCTTCTTTTGGAAGTTTCCTTCCAATCACTTCAAATTCCTTGAGCTGAAACAGAACAATCAGGTTTAATTACTATAAATAAAATTAATACCGAGAAAACATAAAACTAGAAAAATAAAAATCCTTATAACAAATTCATCCTTAAAAAAAAAATTGTTAGTTGAAGGTTTAAATAAAACAAAAGTAACAGCAGTTTGACATAGCTATGCTGCAGAAAAGAAATAAAACATGAAACTAATAAATACATAATGATACAATTTCTTAACCGTTATCTTTTTAAATTATATTACAACTAGAATTCAAATAATTATCATTAAAAATTAATTTTCTAGTATTTAAATTTGATAAGCACGTGACATAGCCTAGATTGAATACATGTAGTTTTCAATACACAAAACTATTGAATATGTTCACTTCAGAATTAATGTCAAGTAAATAACTAATGACCCTCTCACCTCCAAACGGGCCCTTGAGCCCATCATATCATGCATTCTTATGTGGCCAATGCCTCTTCGTGCATTTAAGTATCCCATAAATAGTATGATAAATACATTTTTTTTTTTTTTTAATTTGTGGTAAGAATTAGTTTTGTTAATAAACTAAGAGTAGCATTAACAATTTGTTTCATAAAATATACATTCTTAATTTATTGTAATATTAATGTTATTTTTTGAAAGTCTTTAGAAGGAAACTTCAAATTCCTTGAGCTGAAACAGAACAATAAAGCTTAATAACTATAATATCAATAAAGAAATTGTTTTTAGGGAGGAACCCCATACAAATAGAGTCTATCTCAGAATTACTGTCACTATCAACTTATAGTACTCTAATTCTTTCCTTTATAAACTGTATCATGAATACTAAAACTATCTTAAGACTAACGTAAAAATTATAGTTGGCCAAATATCAAATAATGTCAATTATTAACATAAAAATAAAATCTAGAATTGTCAACAGAGCATATTAATTATAATGATAAAACAATATAAACATGCTATTATATGTTAGGCGTTTAAATAAAACGAAGTGTTTCTTTTAATTTTTCAGTGTTGCATACATTGCACTCAACCTTAGTAATGATTTTAGCAATTTTACTATTTATGGTGACCAAAATCATATTAACTATAAATAAAGAAGAGGTCTGGTTCACCCCTGGTCAGGTCTATCTTCATGCAAAAGCATAATAACTATACATACAATTATGACTAAATCATCACAAAACTACAAAACCAATTCTCGAAGTTACTTAGATGAAGGAGAGGTGTAAATAAAAGAAAATGAAACATGAGTAACAGCAGTTTAACATTACTAAGCTGCAGAAAAGAAATAAACACACAAACCAAGAAATACATCATGACACAATAGAATTTCTTAACTGTTTAATTTTTAAATTATATTAGAACAAGAACTCTAATATTAATCAATGAAAATAAACTTCTCGATCTTTAAATGTGGTAAGCACGTGACATAACCTAGATTGTGTATATGTAGTGTTCAATGAGTATGACTTATGAAGATATTACAAAAACATGAGGAAATATAAATTTATATTATAACAAATAACAACCGTAAAATAAAAAGTACAAACCTCTCCTTTGGCCTTCATTTTATAAACGACGAACCTCTGTAAACGACCAAATCACGAAAGTTCCAATTCTTTAAGGAACAGTGTAGCACTACAAATGGAAGATGAGCACCTCATTAAATAAAATAATTTTTAAACTTTAATTTAATTTAATTTTCTAAAATGATGATGGAGAATAAACACTTCATTTTATTCAAAATGAATAATTAAAATGTTTACTTTGATGATAATTTTCTTATAGCTATTGAATAAAATTTTTAAATTACCTTAAATTGTAAAAGCTTATTAACAATAATTAAATATTTTAAAACCAATTGAAAAATTAAATTATATCAGAACTTGTAGGTTTGAACAGAAAACTTGCAAATATTCCAATACACAGGCGGCGCTACTTGGGGGGGGGGGACTTTCTGGCTGAAGTAATTATCGTTATCCCAGTAATTATACGGGATAGGCACCCGTGGGTATAATCACGTTTTCACAAAAATACGGGTATTAAAATAACTGCAAAATGATACAAACTAAATAAGAGTGGTTAATATACTTTTTGCAGGGCTAACTTGTTTACTCATTTGGTGGAGGCGTGTTTTTTTTTTTAAGGCTTAAGAATTTTTGTTTTGTATTAGCTTGTATAGAGACAGTGGGTTTAAGAGATGTCTACTTTCTCTTCATTATTAATAGTGGAGGTAGAGTAAAAAGTAGCTCATTTGGGATTGAGAAGAAACTTCTAATGATCTGAATAGAGTTCACACACCTATATTTGAGAACAACTAATGGGTATTTCATTTATTATATAATGTACGCTAATTAAAGATTTTTATATTATTTTCTGAATTTGTACAAAAAAACTATTTCAAATTAGAACTGGTCTTATTCAGCAAGAACGGTCAGAGTTCTACTTTTTTCCTGAAAATCTGAGTGTTTTTGTAACTTTTCAGATCAGTTGATGTTGAATAGTTGAATGACTGTTTGATATGGAATTTATTGATATATTCAACAATTATCAATCTGCCCTCCCTTGCATACACCACTGGACACTTTCAATAATCATGTTTAACAGGTGTGCACATCCCCTTTAATGGCGCATCAACCTCCGCCTCCTCCCAAGATATTTTATTGCTCTCCTCTTTTTAAAATCAGTGCAAACTAAAGAAGAATTTTAAAAATCATAGGTCATATACAATTACACTTTGTTCTATACTTTCCTCTTGTCCCCTGATTTGAAACTTTTCATTTCGAAAAATCATAACCGGGTCGAAATGTGCCCCCTCAAAAATTCGAAACCTAGTCAAAATGTGCTCCCGTCAAAAATTTTGATGGCGCAACTTGCCCATTGAATGTTTAATCAACTTGCCCCCTGATGTTTAATCAAATAATACAGTCAAATATACATAATTGATTTTTAAACTAACTGATACACATAGTTTTGAGAGAAATATAGTTATTTCAGTTTAATATTTAATTTAAATATAATTTTTTGGGATAAATATATTATTAAATTAATATATATTAATATAAATTACTCCTTTCCCATTTTTTAAGCAAAAACATTTTCCAAGGAGGGAGGTTTCGCTGGATATATGTAACCTCACTTGGATCCTTCCAGTGATTTCATGAACTGGTGTGATATTTATACCAAAGAAAAAGCACTAATTTTCTGGTGCCCTAAATCATTTATTTTATGAACTTAACCCTTATTTGGATGGACATTTTTTGAAAAATCTTTCTAAGTAATTATTTTGTTGCAAACTATGTTTTTAAAGTTTTCTTCCCTACATTTCATTCTTATTTTGTTTTTAAACTAGGCACTAATTTTACATTTGTAATTGATATTCATTCGATTCTGTCTTCTATTTTCTAAATATATTTCTATTATAGATAATCGTACTTAAATTTCAACAGTGATTAATTTTATATTGTTCATTATCAGCGTAAAGAAGAATGACTAAGCTAGACTCTGAAGGGAATGTGTTAGAAGATAATTCACCTTGCGCTGGTGTTAGAGCTGATCTTAAAATCTGTTTATTAGAAAGTGATTGTGTGAAAAAGGTAAAACACCTTTATAATATAAGCTTCTATATTTTGAAAGCATGCTAATTGTTGTTCTTTTATTATTTTAGAATCATCGAACACCAAGAGAATGTTTAAATATTAATGATGGAACAGTCCCAACTGAATGCCAAGCACTAAGAAACCTGTTTTTCGAATGTAAAAGATCCTTAGTAAGTAGAATTTATGTTTACCTGATTATGATTTTAATATTTAAGATTGATTTGTTCGATTTTTTTTTTTTTTTTTTTCACAAACAGGCCTTAAAGACGCGAAGCTCACGAATTTAATGCTTCCTCTTCATCTGCTTCCTATTCTCCATATCTTCTTCGCAAGAACCGTTATTCTCTTGAGTGCCTTCCTGTACTTATCTCTGTCCAAACAATCTTGGTCTCTTTGTCCTACTTGGTCCATATCACCCTTAATCTGTTTAAAATACCCGCTTAAATTCTTATGACTGTGGATGCGCTGAAAGATTTTATGGTTAAGATTTGTTCAATATATTTATGATAATAGTGAACAATTAATATTTTTAATAAATGGTTAAGAGAATTAATATTTTTAACCATAAAACCAAAAAATAATAAAAAAAATATCCATAATGGTGGATATATAGTTGACTGTAGATTATTGAGTACAAAACGTTGGGTGGTTGGTGCAGTCGAAGGTGAAAGTACACTAAAAAGACTTAATTTAATTATTTCTTAATTTATCATGGTACTAGTTCACCTGAGTTCCACACAAATTAGGTGTGGTTCACAATCACTTCAGTCATACTTGTTCATGGAATGTCAAAACAGTCGAATGAATCTCTTGACGCATTTTTGGAAAACCATTGTATCTCCATTTAAAGAAATTCTTTATTAACAATTCACTAAGAAATTTTTAAAATTATTAATTGGTATGTTGTTTATTATAATACATACTTCTTAATTTTTGATATTGCATTATTAAATTGGTACAGTAGGGAATTCAAGTTTTAATTTTTTTTTCTATTTGGAGTTTTATATTTTAAAAAAATTATAATTGTAATATTTGTACGAAAATATATAAAATGATGTTTGAGTAGTCCTTGAAAGCCTGTTAAAAAAAAAATCTTTTAGGAATAAAACTTTCCTTGACACATGCCTACATGTATTAGGTGTTTATATGTTTTAATTTAAAAAGAGTACATATTGTGTTTGTTTAAGTATTTAACTTATATCACTGAGATAAACAAATATGGGCCAATGAAACACCAATTTTTTATTTTTATTTTGGAGAAGCTTCAGTCGAAAGCCTCCCCTTCCCGCATATCCTCCATTAAATAAGTTTAAATTGTTAACTTATAATTTGTTTCCTCATTTTAATCACTATTATTATTATTGAATAAGTCAACTGCCTAATTATTATTATTTTGCTTATTGATCCTAAAATGGGGTTTATTTGGACATTTATTTCTGAAGAAGGAATGAATGTGGTATGCATTACAGCTGACAAAGAATAAATGAAAAATTCTGCGATATTGAATAATAAAAATTATAAATAAGAAACTTATATATAATGAAAAAGCATTCAGTGATATAATAATTAAAGGTTTTTATCAATTAAATTTCTTTTTCCATTGCTTTATAATTATCTATAACCTCATACATAATGTAACCAAAGTGGCAAATAGAAGTTGGTATACACTGTATAACTGCCAATGGTTAAAGATATACACACAACTACTTTCATAGCAGAAAAGGTATTTGTAACTAACTCAAGAGATTGTTCGGATATACCTGAATACTTACAGCATTCGATAAACCAGTCTGACTGATAGACTTTATCATACACATTCTGGATAATCTTTCAGTGATCATGTGGCTCCATGGAGTGACAGCGGTAAACTGGTACCATTTTTTCTTATTGACCGTATTCACTCATTTTTTTTTTTTTACTCTATTAATGGCTTACTACGATAATTATTATAAAACAAAATTTCATTGAATATTATCAATGTAATCATGTCTCATGTAAGTTATGTTCTATTGTTTGAAATAATTTATACCTATCATGAGTGAGTGTTTTTATAAGTGAACTTTTACACATAAATCTGTATACATAAAAGGTCCATTGGCTTCAGATACATCTACCTAACTTGTTTTAAAGGTGCTAAATTATTTTTAAGCCACGTTTGTTGGCTGACCTCTTTGGTAATCTTGTTTGCAATGATCGGCTACTCATCGTGATGCATAAAGAGATAATAAATTAAAGGAAACACAGGCATATTGTATACCATATTCTTCAAGGATGTCAGAGCTATACAGTCATTGTTCCAGCTGCTAAATTTCAACTCATTCAATCAATTCATGAGCATGAGCATATAGCATGATGGATGAATGATTGTTGGTTCTTACCGTCATTTCTGTATAAGTTTCATAATTAATCCTAATTATAAGTCATAATTGATTAGCCAAAGAGTGAATTTTGATATTTCATAATAAGTAAACTAATGTATAAATTTATTATTGCCCATAAGATTTTATTATTCATATCAATATAAAGCACAAAGACATGTTAGTAAACTGTTTATTCTATTTATTTGTAATGAGACAAAACCCTTTCATAGGATATCAGTTGAAGTATGGAATACTCTTTTCAGATGTCTAATTATGATATTTATTAAATAATTATTGAAAAAAACAGCGAACAAGGGGAATATAAGCAATGAGATATTGATAAAAAATACTGTAGAATTGAATCTAAGTTTTAAAAATGACTATATTGAACATTAAGTATAAAATTTTATTTATTTATGATTGTTTCAGTTGGACAATCGCCAAAGGTTCAGAGGAAGAAAGGGATATTGAAAGTTTGTTTTGTTATGTACAGATATGTAATTTTTTTTTATTGTGTTATTTCTTAGTCATTGATTAAAGTGATATTAATTCTATAATATTTTTATTTATTATTTTTAATATCCTCTCTTAATAAATATATATATATATATATTTCACATTTAACACACTTGAAAAAATTGAAAATTTGTTAACACACAATTCAGATATTTATGAAACTGGGTATCCATATTTCTTATGGACCAACTTGGGATACTATCTTTATATGTGTCAATCAGTCTAGTTATCTTGTTAGTGCCTAAGTAGTATTTCGAATAAGGAATGGTTTTGATGAAACATATGAAAGTACAAGGAAACAACTGAACGGTAACCTTGTGGTTGGATCTTAGTACAGGAAGCTCTAAATAACTTCAGACAACTACCTTGTCAATTATATCATATTTTTGCCACTATTATTTGTTCTACATTCTTTCAATCGCATACACTAATTGGTAAGCTGACGTTATTTTAATAAAAAAGGTTATTTATAGGGTCATTTGCACTAAAAGTTTCATCCTTAAGTTGTTTTCTTATACATATTGTTTATTTTAGTCTAAAAATTCTGAAGGAGTGAACCAAATTCCTCTATTTTCAGCTAGAGGTTTCGATATTTACTGTCAATGATGAAATATATTGGTTGAAACCTGGATCATACCCTTCTATATTGTTGCCTATCTTCTTCATTCACAAGTAATATGCAGCTGGGTGATGTGTGAAACCAATCAAAAGATGTATCAATACCATGAGGTTATAATGAATAACAATCAAAACAACTATAAATATTTATTAGAAAACATTTCATACAAAAACATGTTTAATTATAAATTATATGGTTTTATCAGAATAATTAAAAAAAGTTTATTGAACACTTTTTGAAGGAAAATACTGTTTAAAACTATATAATATTTCGATAAACTATATTTGAGTCTACCAACTGCTTCTTGCAGTACCCGATATCACGCCCTGATGAAGACCTACAAAGTGGGTCGAATCATCGGCTTAACAATTAAAATACTATTTTAACAATTTAGTATTTATTTGACCGCATCCCTCCTGACCAACTCTTCTCATATATAATATTTAAATTAATAACTAATGTGTATTAACTGATATTAACTTTTTTTATTGACCATAATTAATATATTTGTAGCATTTGAACTTGATATAACATCAAATTATAAGTAAATATATGATTTAAGATTGAAATAATTTAAACTTAATTCAAATTCTTGTAGCCACAGCCTATGCCCCTAAGTGAAATATTTTTAAAAATAATTAAAATCGTGTTTTAAATCTAATTGATAATTCTCCTTTTAGGAAATACAAATATTTTCTTCAAAGCATTTTAAATACCTATAATTTTTCTTTATTGCTGGTTTGCAACTTAATATTATGTAAGGTATGAATATTATTATTGCTATGAAGGCATATAATATAAGCTATATTGGCTGGTAACTAATATACATATTCTTTTAACTGATGTTAATTGTCATTTAAAGCTTCTCTTTTGTATAAATTTTAAATTGGTGAGGAATGTTCTTTCCATTTTCTTCTTACAAAGCTTTTGGTTATTGACTCTAACAAGCATAAGGCGAATAACCATTGACTGATTAAGATTGAGCAGATAATTAGATGGTAGAGTTATTAAACTATAAAGGGTCCCTACACACAGAGTGCGATATGTCTCGGTGATGTGATATTGCTGTCTGTGGTGATATGACGATATAGTTGTATTACTATTTATTGCATTATAGCAGTCATACAGAGCTCTATAATCCACAGTAGTAGTGACAAAAGATATTGTATCGCTAGAGCATATAGCGTTGTGTGTGTAGGAGCCTTAAGGATTGATATCAGTTTTTAAAACTATCAACACTTCTAAAACAGTCATTATTTCATGACATTACATATTAATTTCTAACAGTTATTTTAAAATAATTTATCTAAACTAAGAAAATTCATTTAGAATGGAGTGATAAAATAAGAAATATTTCAAACATACATAGTATGTATATAAAGTACATAATACTATTATGCAAAGATATTAAGTTTCATATAAGGAAGACTTTATAATTAATATATTGATATGCATTTCTGAAAATTTTCCTATACAAAAATTAATTTAATGAGAGGGTGAAATTACAATCAGATAGATATTTGGAACCTAAAGCAAAATTTTGCATACTAAATTAAATCTTATGATCACAGCACTATATGAACATTACATACTGTGTAATATAAATTTTCGAAATTGGTTTAAATTAGATGGTAACAATAATTTTTAAATCTATTTTTTATCTAATTACCTAAATACATTAAATGGTAAAATGTTTTGTATTGCTTCATCTAATATGCTTTAAAAAGAGGAAACTTGTGAACAGTTAAAATGAATAGCATATTTAAGTGCTGTGCTTAAAGAAAAAAATTGAGATAAAGACAAGGAATTTTTTTCTTAATTGATTCAGGTGACAAAAAAAAAAATAATACATTGCTGATATGTTATGTTGAAAAATCAAGTATATATCACAGAATATTATATGTATTACAGAAGTCGATTTTACATTGGAGTAATCTAGTAAATTAGCCTTTTTTGCTGAAGTCGTCTGTTGTGCTGCCATTTGGTCAGAAGATTGCTGATGTTCTGTACAGACCAGTATATCCACAAAGCCTTGCCCTTAAAGCTGGTATAAGAGCTGCTGCTGCATTCAATTGTTCCAAAAAGTTGGAGCATTCTACAATCAACAAATAAAGTTTATCCCCATTGGACGCTGATTTGTGCAATGTAATCCTTCGAAGACCAACAGATTTCGGTAATGCTCTATATATCATTCTTGCACCTGATTATGAACAAAATGACTGTTTAAAAACGTTGTATGTTAACTCTTAATCTACTTATAGACTTAAGGTAAATAACAATTTGCCTTTGAAAATGAATCTGTTAGCTTACAGCAAATGAATTTTATGATTGGCAGTTATTCATAAAATTCACGTAAGGAAGAGATTAAAAAAAATAATTGCTTCCTTCTGGAAAAGTTTCATTTTGACCCAGGCTATTTTTTTTTATTGTGATCTCTAGTAAACTTCAGGTTAAGTTAAGAAGATTAATAATTTTTTCCTTTAGTATGTTTTTAGAATCTTTAAAAAGTAATGGGTTAAATGCAAGACTATGCTAGCATATGTAACAAATAGATCTGTCTCAGTTTTAGATGTTTCTTAGGTTAGTAATAAAATTGTCAAATTTGTTAAAGGATGGATTGTTAAAAATGAAATTTTTTTTAATCACTACATGGCCATTGAAAACAAGATATTAATGGAAAAGACAGGAAGCTAGAAGGAAGTCGCAAACTACCAGCATTAATATTAAAAAAAAGAAGAAGTAAACTGGAAAATTTAAAAGGATATCTTTATATGTGAAATGTATAAACCTGTGATTAAAATTGCTTTTATTTTTTATTTTATCTTATTTATTGTACATAGAGTGTGAATGTGATCTATGAACACTATTATAAATGTCCTTTTGAGACAAATTGTAATATTTTTCAATAAACAAGTTAAAAAAAAAAATTGCTAGTTCCTCAGATTTAATAAGAACAGTGAAGCAAATAACTTGCTGTTGCAGTGCAGCAATGCCAATAAGAAATTGTGCAGTTAGAGATGTTCCTCGATGGTTCAATGAAGTAATGAATATAAAGTAATAATATCAACTCACTTCATGGAATGGGAAATAAGAGAAAAATACAATAACAAAAGCATTTGTAAAAGAGAATGCAAAACTACACACATGCTACACCTTCTCATTATTATATTCCTTTCCATAAAAGTCTTGCATTTTACGAATGCTTTTTTGATTGTATTCTTCTCTTATTTCCCATTCCATGAAGTGAGTTGATATTATCATTTTATATTATATTTTTCTCGTTTGCCAAAGAATTAGTTTTTGAAATGAAATAGTCTCTTAAAACAAATCTAGCTAAATTATATGCCTGTTGTACTAATGTCTTATAAAGTGTTCTAAGGGCACCTCCCTCAGGATAATTTAACTCTCAGAATAATTAAATTTATTTTCCTTCTTTGTTGATGTAGAATACATGAATCTTCAACCTGTCTCCAAAATACATTTAAATGTGTTTATTGAAAAAATAAAAACATGCATCATTTATTGTATCACAAAATTAGAATGAGCAGCAAGAGCTAAGGGAGTTATGAGGTAGTAAATAACTTTGGCCAATATGTACAAACCATTTAAAATAAAGAATTAAAAAAATTACAATATTTCAATAAATATTTTAAGGCTCACAGTACCTTGGATCTCTCCAGAGGTATTTTTTAAACAAGTGGAATACCTATTATGAAGTATTCTAATAAATGTTGAACCTTAAAATGCATCGAAGTATCTATATCATTGTTGGGAAACTCACTGTCTCCATTAGTTTTTGTGGAGCACTCATAAATGCCATCTCTGATATTAATTAATATTAAATTATATAGATTACCATATCAATTAATCAAAGTTTCCATATATATATGCTTAAATAAATTGAAATATCCAGGATGAAATATAAAAAATTATTATCACTGCCTAACCTAAATGCAATCTCTAATGATAAAAAAAGGATTCTCTGCTTATAATCTAAAAATAATTCTTGGAGGTAATTATGATAATAGTAACTGACTTGCAAAAAATTATAATGCTCTTAAAACATTTTTTTTTATTTAAAAAAGTACATGCGATCTAAATGATTACAGTAACCTGGTAATAACAATATTTTTGAAATATTATAGTAGTTGTCTCTATGGTAGATTAGATTACTTAACAGCCATTAAATTACTTAATATGGAATTTGATTCATTGAATCTTCAAACAATTTTTTAAAAGGGCTTCGGTCCACTGAGATATTTCAGATATCTTGTAAAGATAAATAGATAGCTACATACAAAAAATGTGGCCCAGTCTTAAAACTAAAATTAAGCACCAATACCAGTAAAACAACAAGAGATTTTCTTTAAACATTTTTCATCCTCACTATCTAGTTAAAATCCCTCCTCTCTTTCAATACCTTTCCAGTATTCAAAGAGTGAAAGATTATAATTTTTTTCCATTTCTGAATTTTTATTTTATTTGAAAATTAATCTAAATATAAATCCTACTAGTACTCACCTTAAGCATGGATTTTCTGACAGCTTAAATAACCAATGTTTGATATTACTGTTTTTTTTTAAAGACTTGTTATCAGGTTCATAAATTTTATTTTTCCAAGTAAAATTTCAGATAAGAATCTACTTTTTCTAATTATTTTTTTCTAATTTGATTTATTTTTTAATGAATGCATCTATTTATTATTAACATTTAAACAAATTTATAATTTTTAGCTTGTCTTAGGCTGGTGTTCTGCTTTTGTCTGTATAAATAATGATTGATAAGGTTTTTTCTTGATCTGCAATTTATTAATTGCAGTTTGAATAGTATATAACTTTTATTCTACTTAAAATTTGTGGAATTTTTCAAGGGTATACTAAATACAGAATAGAAGCAGAACAATAGGAAAAAGTTTGGTTTGCTAACATTTTTAATGTTAGACTTTTACATAAAAACATTAAGTATTCACAAAGTAAACTAACCAATGGCATTTCAATTTTTTCACATAACTACAAATTACTTTAAATTAGGCTTAGGGAAGTGGCAGCCCATTGCCTGGTCAATGTACTGTCGTCAGCCACTGGTCCTCCAGGTTGGGTAAACACTGACGCCCAATATACTAATACAGCACACTATATTGACCCCCACACTTACAGACTAAGGCACTACAGTACACAGGGTTTGTATCCCTAGGTAGCAGCCTCGGAATAGGAGCAAGTTCTGGTGCTCAGAGGAGATAGCCCCTTTACCAGCCGTAGTCTGATAACCTCCTCCCCTTAAGCTACCAATATCTCCAAACTTGAACAAAGATCAGCTGGACAGAACATTGGTAACCGGCGTAATGTTCATCCTAAAAACCTAAAACTAGTCTCGTGGAATGTTTTATCGCTTTACAGACCAGGAGCTCTACAACAGCTACTTTCACAATTGGACACCTACATCCAACTCATTTGCAAATGAGTATATATGCACAACCTACTGATGGCCGTCTGGCAACAGGAGAAAATGCCTAATGAATGGAATGAAACTGTAATATACCCAGTTTATAAAAAAAATAATAAAAAAATGCAGGGAGTATAAGATATACATCTATCACCTTTTCATTGATTTTCGGACAGTGTAATGAGAGAAGAATTCTACCGAGGACTGTTGGAAATGCGAATACCTGTGAAGCCCATTCGCCTTATACACATGACAAAAATGAGAGTAAAATGTATGATCCATATTCACGGTATAATTTCAGAGAGCTTCTGCACCTATAAAGGGCTTAGGCAAGGATATTGTCTTGTGTGCCTACTTCTTGACTTGGATCTGGAATGTGCAGTCGAGAGATCTGAAATCCAAATTGGAGGTTAAATTTTCAATACATCTACAATGATCCTTGGGTACAAGGACGACAGGGACTTAATGGAACGAACCTTTGATGCCATGAACGATGTATTCCTAGAACTCTAACATGAAGCCTAAATAATAGGTCTTATTAGTAATGAGGCAAAAACAAAATCCATGACTACAGACCCTCCAGAGAGTGGAGGAATTTAATTATTTAGGATCATAAGTCAATTCCGAGAATAACACTGAACAGGAAATTGGGCATCGGATTGTCTCTGCTAACAAATGCTATAGTGGAGCAGTTAGGCAGTTAGGCAAGAGCAGAATAATATTCTGAGCCACATAAGATCTGCCTGTATAAGACATTAGTTCAGCTGGTACTGACTTATGCTGTGGAATTCATGACTATAATCAGGAATCAGGAACATGCTTTGCTAAGATTTGAGAGGTGGATCCTGAAGAGAATCTTGGAAGCAATATGTGTTTGTGGAATCTGGAGATAGTGGATTAATGCTAAATTAATGCAACTCTATGAGGGTGCTGATGTGATGACCTTTATCAAGTTAGCCATCTCAGATGAGCTGGACATGTTATCCAAATAGAAGCCTGAAGATCAGGTCCAAAAAAACATCCTTTTGGAAGAAATCTTTGGAAAAAGAGGAAGAGGAAGGTCAAAGTTGCGTTGAACAGATGGTTTTGCTGCATATGCCCGAACCATGATTGGGGTCTGGACTGGAAGGTGGCAATATGGAATAGGGATGACTATAGGTCAAATTTGCAAGAGGGCTTGCCTCCAGGCGGGACGTAGTGCCATATAAGAAAAAGACAAAATACCAGTATTAATTACCAATGTTTAGAGTTATTATAGCACAATTTTTGTGTTTAGTAAAAGATTGCTGCTGGCTACCATACACATCTTACATTTCTTTTTTATAATTAATCCCTACCTTACCATTTCTGACATATGGAGGAGTTGTTCTAAAGATACATCCAAACCTATTATAATCAGAGTGGGAAGGTGAAGATTCATTCTGTAGGCACGCCACAAAATAAATTTCAACCTGTCTAGGCTACATGGAGATTTTCCCGGACCAGAGGGTGAGGGAGGAATTAATTCAAGAGTTAAAAGCCTCCCAGGGACCGGAACATGAACTTGTAATTATTTTTGATTCCGGTTGCCGGGCAATGTGCGTTGGAGAGCACACGCATTAGCCTGTTCCGCCACCCTGACCCTCATCATCACATGTCAACATTCATTGTAACAAACAATGAGCCATTTTTCATTTCAGTAATATTAACAACAATCCCTTCCCCCTTCCACTTTCCCAATGTAATTAAATAGTTATTATTACCACAAAGATTAACATTAAATTGGTAGTATATAGTATTTTAATACCTGTCCAGTAGAGCCAATTTTTTTCAAATTTTTCTCCATCGTCTCCTTCAAAAACTTTGTAAAGAGAAACAATGAATCCTGTTGAAGGTGAAGAAGGTTTCTTGGAGGTGGGATCCAACGGTGGTCTTGCTATAGTTGCTACTTCATTAAACAAGTCAAAAGTGTGTACTGCAGTGTAACGTATTGTCCTAGGATCAAATTTACGGAGAGAAGCTCCACGGCAGTTATGAAAGAATTCTGCTGGATCAGTGGTTGCCTTATTTATGACATAATAAGCTATGAAGGGAAATTCAGCTAAAAAATAAAGAAAATAAATTTAAGAGGAGCTAAGTTCTTATAGACAACTATTATTACATAATGGTTTTGTTTATGTAAATATAATAAGAAAAAAAGGATATATTTTGATAAACCTAATTTTAAATGGATTGAATAAACTCAGGAAACTGAAAAAAAAATATGAACTATAATTATAATATTTTTACTGAAAGTAAAGCACTAAATCTTGAACTATTAAGTGATCGAACTTTTGATTTTTTGAAATGTGTATTTTCTTATAAAATATCTTTTACATGGATATAATACTACATAAACAAATTAATAAACTAACATAGAGACAAATATGTTAATAAAATTGTTCTATGAATGTAGTAACGAAATATCATAACTATTAGAATTACCATTCTTTTCTAGGTTGCAAAGGAGCATTCCTTCAGCTGCTGTTCTTGTGCAGCCAATTTCTGAGAGGAGGTCACAAGCAACCATTTTCTGCTTCATATATGGCATAGTTAATGGAGACTCAAGTATGGGCTCTAAGGGTTCCATCTGCGTCATAAGGTGGATCACAATGCATATCTTTGGATCATCAACTTCAAGAACACTCAGACTCCTTTCAGCATCATTGTCTAAAAGTGGCATCTGTAAAAATAAATAAATAAAAGGAAAAACTGTAAAAGTATGCCATGCTAAAGTGAACATTTTTCAGAATATTCTTTATCTGACTCCTAAAGCTCCTAAACTAGAGCCATTCATTAATTAATTAATGAACATATACTATTAATATTAATAATAAGTAATATTACCCATGACCTCTCAGTTTCATGAATACAAACTGGAAAGTTAAATATTTTTCATTGATTCATCATATTGTTTTTACCACATTTACCACATTTAAGCAACTAGTGTGACATTTTTCATTTTTTTAAATTAATTGATTTTACTAATTTACCAGAAGTATTTTTAGAAATTAAAGTCTTTTAAATACAAATATGTGACTCAGGGAAGTAAAAAGACCCAAAGATAAAGAAAAAAATATTTACAATGGAGTAGTTAAAAATAAATTGTTTTTTTTTTATATTTTGAAAAATAGGTACATATAAGCATATTCCTACTTAAACATGATGGTGAAAATATATGAACTAAGAAATATAAACCTTTCAGATATTTACACAAAAATAATGGCTAGAAAATAAACATTAATACCTGCAATTAAATTATCAAGAAAGAAAATCTAAATGATGCATACAACGTTTTTCTTCCACCATTTCAATCAAATTTGGTCTGATGAGTTTATGAATCTCCAATCTCATTAATATTTTAAACAATTTTTATTTCCTTTCAGAACAAAAATTAATGAATAGTAAAATTAGAAAGAAATTATTTGAGCTATTGACATTTCTCTCTATTTTTCTTTTTTAATCTATCTGCTATATTAAGAAATAATTTTCAATCCTACATTTCTGTTCAAATGAAAAAAAAATTATGAATTTTAAAATTTGATATTTGACTTACAGGGACTCCAGCTGGTAAAAATCTGTCTAGGCTGGCAACCGGAATTATGAAGCAGTCTTTATCAAGCATCTTTAACTGGGATATTTCTGCTTTGGGAACGGGAAGCAGTGAGATGGGTTTCCGAGTTCGATTGGCATATCCTCCGACATCGCTGAAGCTCACCTAGTAAAAAACATCTATATTCAGTATTAATAATACATCACACATATTGAAATATGAAGTCATTATAAAATGTCAACATTAGGTTTTATTTTGCAGGATAGCATGCTTTAGCATTGTTAGTGTACAATAAGATGTAAAGGAAGGTTAATGGATCGCCATTGATACCAGATTCACCTAATCCCTTGTAAATTTTCGTTTAATTTTTATAAATAAAATTATTATTGTTGACAGTATCTGTTATCTATCTTCCAGTAAATAAAAAAATCCCTTAAAGAATAAAAAGAATAACTGAATATAGAGTGGTTTTTAATAGAAATAAATTGGATAAATTATGTTTACTGATTTTTCACGGACTAAGAATGTATAACTGATCGAGTTATAGTTAAACATAAATAAAATTAAGGATAAGATACTTGAGGGTTTGGTCTTAGATTAATAAAACAATCTGCAAGACATTAATTAACTTATTAACTTGCCAAAATATTGACTAGGATTGACTTGAAGACAGAAAGAAAACAAATTTTTAATTAACATAATAATAATACTTTTTTTGTATAAAAAACTATTGTATTGTGTGGCTAAGCAAAACATTGTATGGAGAAGTAGGAATCTTGCTAACATTTAAAACCAAAATTAGGTGATAGATGAAATTAGCCAAATTTAGTCATTAATATTTTTTTTAAATGCCTGTGATACAGTCATCACTTCAAGCTATGTTCAAGCTATTTTTCTAATTAATTCCCCTCCACTAGTGTCTATTTTCCCTCATAAATTGTAATAAACCTGGATGTATCATAATTCTAGACTTTTGAGGATTTGCTAAAATTAAGGACCACAATGTCAATCTTAGTTCAATATGTGGTTTTAATAATGTTTAACTAAATTGAAGTACTAATTAAAAGTCATATTTAGAGGCCATGTTGACTGAGCATATTAAGGAATTCCCTGTTAAAGTATTCTCAGAGCCAATGCTATTTCGAATCTTGTTTAAAAAATAGTTCAATTTAATTTGTTATGTTCCTCAAATGTAGACTTGATAATTTTGTTGAATAACTGCCTCCACAAAACATATTTGATATTGCCCTAGTACTCCATAATTATGATAAAAATCTTTCTCATGTTTAAGATTCTTCTATTACAAGCTTATTTATGTAATTAAAAATTCACTTGGTGATGTTTTCATAACATAGCGTATGGTAAAAAGTAAATATGTTATTTATATTCAGATGAGACCAGTGTGAGGCAACTTATAGTATGTTTTGATTCATTCAATCAGTGATATGCCGCTAATCTTTAAATTGATAATTTTATGATCTATATTACTTTTAACAAAAAAAAATTGTTGTTTAGTCAGAATGAATGTAAAATAATTGCCTATCGCAGTTGTTACTACTATAATTTCTCTAAAACATAATTAGTGCTCAATAAACTCTATTTTATTTATTTTTAATAAATTATTAAATCAGTGTGTTTAAATCTTAATTAAAAAATAAAATTGAACATATTATTCAACATAATGTATTGAGAATCAATGTTCAATTTATATCAAAGTGACTTGTTTTCATGCTTTCACATTGGTGATTTAACAGTGATAAAAAGGTTTCATTAATTGTTCAGAATACCTTCTTCTGATTTAAAAACTGTTATTTAATAATCAAAACAGGTTCTGCTTTGCGATAAATGCTATATGAGTCATTCTAAAATGAAATGCTTCTTCAGTGTAACTAAACGTATTCTGTTAGGGTCAAAGAAATGAACATTTTTAGGTATTATTTGTTTTGAAAAAAAAATGAAAAAGTAAAGTTAGAAACAGATTTGTCTTTAGAAATTCATGATTGCCACTATCCAGTAGGGGTGCCCGGAAGGGGGTTTTATGGGCAAGTTGTATCATCAAAATTTTTGAGGATGGCACATTTTGACGAGGTTTTGAATTTTTGAGGGGGCACATTTCGACTGGGTTATGATTTTTCGAAATGAAAAGTTTCAAATTAGGGGGCAAAAGGAAAGTATAGAACAAAGTCTAATTGTATATGACCTATGATTTTAAAAATTCTTCTTTAGCTGTCTTCACTGATTTTAAAAAGAGGAGAGCAATAAAATATCTTGGGAGGAGGAGGGATGTTGATGTGCCATTGGACCTTGGGGGAAGGAGAGATGAGCACCCCTGCTGTTCAGAATACATTTTGAGAATTATATAAAAAGTAGCTCGTGAAATCGAAAAATGTATTTGCAATTTTCAAGAATTCAATGAAAATCAAAGTTATCAAATACTTTACCATGACATTCAGAGGTACTTCTATGTTTTTGTTTATTCAAAATTAAGAATCCAATAATTTTATTTTCTTTCAAAATAGGATTTTGTTTAAAATCTTAATGCCAAAAAATAAAAAATAAAAATTATTTTCTTGATTTCCTCAGTCATCAAAACAGGAAGTAACAGTTTATTTAAGAATGACCCAGTATAGCATACTGCAAACCGGCATGACCTCTAAAAATACTTTCATGAAGATAGTTTATGTAAAATAAGCATATTGGTTTTCAGTCAGACTCCTGCCAAAAATTAACCCTTTGGCGATTCCTGCATAACTTGAAAGAGCTCAGTAAGCAGGAGTCAGTGATTGTGGTTTTCATAATTTAGAAACATTGAAAGCAAAGAGACAAAAACTGAGTGGCTATTTTTGACTATAAATTGAAAAAAAGACAATCGCTTTCATTTTTAATGAAAGCAATACCAAAACATCACCGGAAACTAGTGACAACATTAGAACGAGATAAAGTGATATTTTGCAAAAGTTGTATTATAACCTGTGTTGGCCTTAGATCCAACTAGGGCATTTGTTCGGGGGCGTCAGCCAGGAGGAAGGGGTACTCGCCACTTGTTTCAAATAAAAATAAAATACAAAGGTTATGAGAATAATTAATTTTAACCTATTAACAAAACAACTACAAATACAATTCAAATATTACATAGTACAAAAAAGCTTAAGAAATCAATTTCAGATTTTTAAAGATGTCATTGCCCAGGAGCGCCAGATTTCTAAGGCCGGCACTGGTCAGAAGTATGTATTCTGAACTATTACCCACTTTGTGATTAGTTACTATGTCCATTCGACTGAAGTCATAACATTAATATAATCATGCGATTCGCCCATTGGCAACATATAAAGCAGTTTCAGTTCATGCTAAATGATTATTTCCTGTTGTTCAAATAAAAGTAGAAAAGTTAAGCCAGTCAAACTGAAGGTTTTTATTAATGTACATAACCAAAACAAGTAAAAATTAATAATTCATCCATTGCATCAATAATTGAATGAGAAATAAATAAAATTCAATGTCTCATTTTGTAGAAGATAAAAAATTAGAGCTTAATCCATAAAGTACATTGCAAAAACGACTATCTAAAATATCTTTTATGGATTGTAATCTATGTTACTTATGTCTAAATAACACCCATTATGTCATTGAATGGGTAGAGACTTGGTCACTGCATGGACTAGTCAGGTTTCACTTAAAAAATGTACAGTGATTGAAATGAGCTTTGAATGTAAATCTTGTTAAAAACAATTGGTAATATTAGAAGAAGAAGAAAAGTAAATTTTATTCTGGGACATTCAGTGAAGTCATAAGATGATCAAGAATTATCTTTATTTCAAATTACCTATGTTTTGTATATCTATATATTTTATTGATATTTTAGTCCGTGGTACAGGCCCCTTTTTATCGAATTATTAACTTCGTAAATAGTTTCTTCTCATTGTAACTTTTTTTTTTTTTTTTTTTTATTATTTTAATGGAATTTACAACTGTATTACATAGAGAATACAATAAGTAAATGAGAAATTTGTAACATGGCATGTACAACATGAAGAGAAACTACCCATTGGTAGAACTCAAATTAAAGTTCTATATTAGAAGATCCCGAGGCCATCTTCTTTTCAGACGCCTCGGAGGGTTACCAGGGATCAAGGAGGAAGCAAGGTTTGAAACGAGAGGATTCGGATGATTCTGCAGTTTGTTATGGAAGGAAAGGTATCTGGATTGGGCCAGATCGGAAACATATGGAACATTAAGGTCTTTATGGATGATTTTATTTGTGACAAAGTAAGGAGCGTTGAGGATTTTACGAAGGATTTTGGATTGTAAGGATTGGATACGAGAGGAATTCAATGGTTTAGTGGAGCCCCAAAGCTCAATTCCGTAAGTCCAAATAGGTCTTATTATTGTCATATATACGAGTCGTTTATAATTGATTGAAAGCTTAGATCGTTTGTCTAGTAAGTGCTGCAGTAGTCGAAAACGTCGGGCGGTTTCTAGTCGTTTCAGTCTGGTATGGGGGTTCCAAGTGAGTCGTTTGTCAAGGTGGAGTCCTAAGTAGCGGATTTGCTCAACAGGAATAAGTGGAGTATTATTGAAGGATACTGTAGGACAAGAGGTCATAGGTTTACGACGGAGGGTAAAAGTGATTTGATGGGATTTGTTGGAATTTATTTTTATTCTCCAATTTTTACACCATTCTTCAAGGCTTGTGATATGTGATTGAAGAGTTTGGGATGCAATTAAAGGATCGTTATTAACTGATAGGATACACGTGTCATCGGCATAGGTGGTGATGACAGTGTTGGCATTGTAACTTACAACTATTTACAAAAACTTTTGGAATTGGGACGTTTTCAATCTGGAGATCGGCAAACTTTGTCTATTTAATTAGGTACTAAAAACTCTTAAATACCTCTTTGCTTTCTACTTGGATCGTAAGATAATTTGATAACAAAATCGAGAAAAAAGGTGGCTTTCAAAAATATTGAGCCGTTTAGCGTGACCTACACCCCTAAAATTTCAAAATAACGAGGTTATATGGGACAAACAGCCCAATATTTTTGTAGGGCACTTTTTTTATGGTTTTGTGATCAAATTATCTTACGATCCAAGTAGAAAGCAAATGGGTATTTACGAGTTTTTAGAACCGAATTAAATAGACAAAATTTGCCCCACTCCAGATC